TCCTACTGGGAAGTTAGAATTTCCGAGGAGAAAACGAATGCACCATCAGATGATAACAACGGTGGCAATGGAAGCTAACATATCAAGCTAACGTTATCTTAAACAGTTTATTTAACTGCTGGAGCAGATTAAAACGATGATGCCTCACACTTAGATCGTTGTCGCTGGTTTCATCTTCACCCAATCACCCGTCGCATTTAGTAAAGTGAAGCCAAACTTTAGAGCGCGTTCATGTTCTTCTAGTCGGAAATTCGGAGTTCTGAGGAGAAAGCGAACGCACCATTAGCGAAACGGAAGCTAACATATCAAGCTAACGTTATCTTAAACATTTTATTTGCCTACCGGAGCAGATTAAGATGAGGATGTCTCACTTAGATCGTTGTCTGTCGCTGGTTTCATCATCACCCAGTTACCCATCCCATTTAGTGAAGTGGACCCAAGCGTTAGCGTGAGTTCTTTCTACCATGCTGCTCTGTTTACAACACGCACGCAGGGACCGACGACATAACGCTCTTGCACATGCACAGCTGTCTTGACAAGTTCTCGTTATGAAGGACGGGTACTGAAACGAGGCACCGTTTGAAATGACGTGAATCGGTGCTCGGTCGGTACTATGGAATTCGGTCGGTACCATTCGCCTGAGGTAAGTTCCCTTTTCATTCAGAGGCAGAATTTCAACAGCAGAGCTGTGAATCGTGATAAAAAGGTCTCTCAAAAATGACAGACCGTCAGATGTGTAGATCGTAAAACGGTCTAAAATCGTCATATCGCCCAGCCGTACTTCAGCTGCTTCTAAAGTGTTTAGCCAATCAACATCAACCAACTTATTTCATCAAATGAATAAAAAGTAATTAAACAATGGAATGCTAATGTAAAACAATCTGAGGTGGTTGAACCAAAAGGAGGTAGTTGAAACAAAATGGCTGACTCCCTTTGTCTGAGGGAGCAAGGACCCGACCGGTTATGTGGGATGTGTGTGTCCTCCCAAACACTGAAAACCAAAATGTGTGTGTGTGTCCTCCCAAACACGGAAAACCAAAATGTGTTTGTGTGTCCCTAAACACGGAAAACCAAAATGTGTGTGTGTGTCCCTAAACACGGAAAACCAAAATGTGTGTGTGTGGGCAACTTTCACTTTAAACTTCCGAAGCACATTCAATCACAGTAAAACTTAAGACTTCAAAACCGCTTCACAAAGATCAATAAACCAAACAAAAGATCAACCATAAATGAAATATCTGATAGTTTGTCAGCCTGGCCACAACATAAAACTTAAGATATTATAATGAAAGAAACAAACGGCTTACTCTTAAGATGACCCGATGGCGTTTTTGGTATGGAAGATAGATAAAGCCATTGGTACATAAAGCCATTGGTACTTTAAAGCAAATCGCGCGGTTTGATTGCTTATTCGGAACTTATTAGAGAGAAACGGAAGGAAGAGAAAGAGGAGAGAAACTCTTGTTTATCGAACCCGAAGCGTCCCCTGGAGTTCAAACGAACCAGATGGCGGTTCCGTTGCTTTTCAGCGACTCAGTGTTCCGTCCACTTCAGCAGCCAGGCCCGTGCACATGCCGTCCGGAACGGCAACAAACGAGCGCTTCCTCACACTGTCATGTCCCTGGGAAGGTGTTTAACCCACGACATGAAGAATCATCACAAAACAACGGCAGAAAGTTCAAACAATGATTTATTAAACCTAACTAAAAGTGTCCTGGAGATATCCAAGTTCAATGAAGCCAGAAAGAGCCCAGAAGACAGTAGGGAGGGCAGATGGTGTGACGGGGTGCGTCCAGGAGAGGGAGCCAGACGATGGCGGCAGAGGATAGGAGAAACAGGAGGAGAGGCGAACCGTGAGAGTTGTTGTCCAGGCGGGTCATGGTGAGTTCCAGGTAGGTATATTCCATCAATGGTTCAGTGTTTCCAAGTATCCTGAAGAGGAATACAAACTTGAGTCCAAAATGGTCCAAACACAAGAATCCAAGAAAAAATCCAAATACATCCAAATACTGCGACAGCAAAAATGTCTGAGCAGAGACCAAGCATAACCTAAGACTTGAGAGAGGCAAGATACTACCGTGAGTAGCTAATCATCCAGCCATGTGAAGTAGTTCCCTCTCCTCTTAAATAGAGCTCTGCTGCGGTTGATCTGAGGAGCAGCAGCTGCCGCTGATTGGTAATGCCCCGCAGCTGGTGAGTGCCCTCTCCTGGAATGAAGATCTCACAAAGATGTTGTAGAGAAGGAGGAGTACTCACCCCGATGCACAACAATGCCCCCCCCTCAACGGACGCCACCTGGCATCCTAGCAACCGTCTCCTCGTAATCCCGAATGAGGGAATGATCCATGATGAAGGAGCGCGGGACCCATGAGCGCTCCTCTGGGCCGTACCCCTCCCAGTTGACCAGGTACTGGACCCCACGACCACGGGGTCTGGAGTCGAGGATCCTCCGGACTGAGTAGACCAGTCCCCCCTTGTAGAGCCGGGCCGGCGGCGGAGGCGCAGGAGCAGGACAAAGAGGACTGGAACCAACGGGTTTAACCAAGGAGATGTGAAAAACAGGGTGTACCTTCATGTTCCTGGGGAGGTCCAGCCGAACCGTGGTGGGAGTAGGCGTGTCTAGGACCCTGAAGGGGCCGATGAACCTCGGAGTGAGCTTCCTAGAGGAGGCCTTTAGCGGGATGTCCTGAGAAGACAGCCAAACGTCCTGACCAGGAGAGTACAGCGGGGCGGGGCACCGGTGTTGGTCTGCCAGCTGCTTGTTTCTGGCGGCAGTGCGCTCCAAAGCTGCCCGGGTAGAGGCCCATGCCCGTCTGGCCCCCCTGAGAAACTGCGGGATAGAGACTGAAACCGAGGCTTGCTGTGGAAACAGTGAGGGTTGGTAACCCAGAGATGCCTCGAATTGTGACTGACAGTGGCGGCTGGCCAGTAGAGGGCGATAGGGTGCCGCCCTCCCAGTTTTCCCCAGTGTTTTTAATTTTTATTTAAAAAAATAAATAAATAAAATTAACAATAATCACATATTCTAAGTTAATTGTGTGTTTTGTAACAAAGACAAATCATATATATATATATATATATATATATATATATATATATATATATATATATATATATATATATATATATATATATATATATATATATATATTGGTCAGAAGCTCTCTGCCGAGCTGTGGAGCCGACAGAAAGGCTGTGGGCTGTTTCAATCGCCCAAACAGCACGAAAGCAGTCCGCCAATTGCTGACAAGAAAATCAAACGGTAGGAATGGGAATGTATCCAATCAGCGTCGATGTTGTTTCAGAAGCATGATGGGCGATAGAGCTACCTCCAAAGGCTTTCGTTGCTGTTCGGTAGAACTCGGAGAGTCTCGACTACTCCAGCACGTTTTTGGTCGTGACTGTCGCGGTCTTGACGCAGATGGACGCCAATAGTCAGACACACGTGGATTAATCCCTTTGTCCAATAATGTAAGACAGGAAATAAAAGAGCTGTGCTTAATTCAGGAAATAGTGAAGTTGTGCACAAAGCTCAGAAAGCACAAGTTTGTTTAAAAAAAAAGCACAGCCCCACCAAAAATATTTTTCACCAGCCGCCACTGTTACTTACATACTAAAATGAAATAGGTGCAGTTACAGCAAACAGCCACCGGAGGGCAGCATTTTCCCTCCGTCTCTTTATTCCTTACTGCTGTTTGTGGCCAGCAGAGGGCGCAAAATTCCCATTCTTTTAAGGAAAAAAACTGTTTGGAAGAAATTAGTGTTTCTACTAAGGATGTCTTTTACCTTTACTAATACAGGTTCATCCCCTTCCTCCTCCTTCTCCTTCATAATATTATAATTCCCAAAATGTTTATTAAAAAGATTAAGATTTTTTTAAGCTCCTTTAAGACCAGGAGGCCAAAATGTTCTATTCTAATTGGCTAAAATTGAACATGTGTAGGCTTCCCGGTGGTGCAGTGGTTAGAGCTGTTGCCTTGCATCAAGAAGGTCCTGGGTTTGCTTCCCGGCTTGGGATCTTTCTGCATGGAGTTTGCATTTTCTCCCTGTGCATGCGTGGGTTCTCTCCGACTTCCTAACCACCGTCCAAAAACATGACTGCTTTTGGTTGATTGGTCTGTCTAAATTGTCCTTAGGTGTGAGTGTGTGCATGGTTGTTTGTCCAGTGTGTCTCTGTGTTAACCTGCGATGGACTGGTCTGGCTCTCATCCATGCCTTTGTGTCATCACGCTTAGACTACTGTAACGCTCTTTTTACTGGTCTCAGCAAAACCTCACTCTCACACCTTCAAGCCATCCAAAATGCAGCAGCCAGACTCCTAACCAAATCCAGCAGACGAGTCTGAAAGGACCTGTCCCCTTTGGTTTTCAGTCTGGTTCAAGGAACAGCCAGGAGGTTTTCAGATGTGGATCTAAGATTCCGAGAGGTGATGTGTGGAGATAAAAGCTCAGATAGGTAGCTTGGAGCCTGGTTGTTAAGAGCTCTATAGGTCAGCACTAAAACTTTAAACTGAATTCTATATTCTACCGGGAGCCAGTGGAGGGACTGTAAAACTGGAGTGATGTGAGCTTGTCTGCTGGATTTGGTTAGGAGTCTGGCTGCTGCATTTTGGATGGCTTGAAGGCGTGAGAGTGAGGTTTTGCTGAGACCAGTAAAAAGAGTGTTACAGTAGTCTAAGCGTGATGACACAAAGGCATGGATGAGAGCCAGTCCATCGCAGGTTAACACAGAGACACACAACCATGCACACACACACACACACACACACACACTCACACCTAAGGACAATTTAGACAGCCCAATCAACCAAAAGCAGTCATAGACTTGGCGATGAAGGCGAATAACACACAAACAAACCTAATCACTAACGCTGACAGGGAACACAGGCCGACGTTGTGTATTTCATGACAACCCATGAATCCAAAGGTTGGTTGGTGGAACCACGCCCACCTGTTTAAGTGTAACTCCGAGGTTAAAGGAGCAAAAAAGTAGTAATGATGTGAACGCTGACTTGACTTTATTGCAGAGTGTGTGTACACGGCAATTCAAGTGAAAGCAACTCACAGAGGAAGATAAAGCGGAGGAGTGAGTACCACTCCACTTCCTGTTCAAGTTCAAAGTGACCATGGAATTTCAGATTAAAAGTCCCCATTCTGATCCTGACTCTCAGCAGAAAGCAACATTTAAAAAATATTCCTGCATGAATTTATGCTTTGAGTTTAAACTTTGATTACACAGAAAAAAAAATGTTTCTCTTTGCTTATAATACAAGTTTCTACAAAAATAATACACAACCTCATCACACGCACACCAGAGACCTACGGGGGTTCGTACCAGACAGCTGATGAGGACATTTACACGTCTGATGCAGAATTTTCTGCTTGACCATTAACACAAATTATTACATTTTTAAAATCTTCAATACCTTGTTGTCTTCATTACATTTACAAAAAGTTCTTCTGAGAAAAAAAATTCTCTGTGTTTTCATCCATATTAGCATTAGAGACGTCAGTTAAGGTGCAAGATGTCAGAGCTTTGCAAATAAATACTGAGAAAAGGTTTTGCTGAGACAGCAATCTGCTCCTGCAGATGTGATCCTCGAGTCACCGGAGCAATGATCATATGGTGAAAAGGTACAGCACTGTTCCTTTAAAAAGAAAGGCACTCGTCATCACTGAAAACCTTTCACGTTCCTACAGAAACACTCTAAATGTGCAGCTTGTATTTTCACAAAACAATACTTCCTAAAAGTGTCAGCGTCTTTGCTACAGAGGAAATCACGAGTCTTCTGGAACTGATTACACACAAAGTCCAATTTCTTTTTCACTCGTTACAACAACAATTCACAGCTTCGATAAATCACTAAATACATCCCTTTGGAATCGTGTCAAGAATCTCTCTCAGGATTTCTGAAAGAGAATTTCAGATTCATCTACCTTCAAAAGATGTTTCAAACCTTTAACCTCACTGTTCTTTCGAGTGTTTTTAAGTGTCTGACACAAAACAAAGCAATAAAAACTCTGTCACGTCTTCAACATCTTCACTCAGAAACAGTCAGGGCTGGGACAAAACCTGAGGAAGCTTGAAGTGTGGCGAAGACAAAAGGAGGCGCCACACTGTTGCTTTTCCACAGCGATGGCGACAAGTGGGAGGCAGGTGATCATGTTTATGTGTCCGGAGAATCAGTGAGGCCTAAAGCAAGAGCTTCTTCTGGGGTCAGGCCGTTTTTCAGAGTCCGTCTCACTGTGAGAAGACAGGAGAGGATAAAGTCATGCACCCATCTGGAGTTTAAATGACTCTTATTTGAATTTTCTAGTTTAATCACATGACATCCTATAGATTAAAGTCCCGTTTACACAGAATACAGAACAGATGCGGTCTGGTTTTTATGAGGCTTCCACATGGACCAAAATCATTTCGTCCAATCAGAGCATTCGCACCGGCTCTAGATGCAAAGCTCCAGAAAGTTTCCACATGGAGACTGGGACTGGTGATAGAACGACAGCAATATGAAAAAAATTTTCCTTGATACAGATGTGAGAACGGGTCAACAGAGCTTTGATATAAAGAACAGAGCCACACAGCTCAGGAGCTAGACCGACGTGCCACTAACATGTTTATTTAGCCTCTTGCTGCAGGTAACAGGTTACATGGGTGGTAAAAAGTAAATTATTAAATAAATTATTTAAAATACCAAAATAACCTTCTGATATCTTCAAATCTCACATAAAAGTATCAGAACATTAAAAATAGTGATATGTTTTATATTGTGAGATTGATGTCGACCGATATGAAAATTCCTTTAGTGGTAGAAATGATTTTCTATATTGTCCAGCCCAAGTGAAGACTGGTTATTCTGGATGCCACGTGTCGATTGTTATGAAGTTAAAGAAATTACCTGAGCAAAACAGGAAGTGGAACGTGTTTCTGTAAAGGTGCATACGGTGTGTTTCAAAATAAAACTAGTGTTGCATAATTGTTGCTGGCTTTTGTTTTATTATTGACGACGCGGATGTCAGTTCCCAGCGTACGATCGTTCCTGTTATTTTTACAGGTATCATTTTAAACGTATTGTATCAAATTTGGTATCAGCTGGTGCTCTTGTAAGAGAAGATGCCCAGCACAGGAGCCGTATGGAAACCAGACCACCTCCAAACCCACTCTATGAACATGGGGTCAAATGTGGTGTTCATCAGGTCATACGGGATTTCCGGTTGGCCCTGGACCTCCTCCGCTCTCTGGGCTGAGCTCTGGTTCCTGGACCCTGAGTGGCCGACCTCACTATCCGCTCCATGATTTCATCTGCAGCATCATCTCCACAGGTCTGAGTGTCCTCCACAGCTGTAGTCGGCACCTGCATGGTCCGACCTGCAGAAACCAAAAATTAAAACTAGGAGGCTTTACAGATTTCATCATAAATCCACAGATTCTCCACTGAACTTTACTAACCTCCTCGTCCAGGTCGTGATCTGGTCCGAGTCCGGAGACCTGGCACCGTACCGGCCTCCTTGTCGCTGCAGCTCAGACCGGTCCTCAGCACAGCCTTCATCTGCTCATGCTCTGCAGCATCCTCAGCGTGACCCAGACCCTGGGGCGGCTCGCTGTCCTGGCTGCCACTAGGGGCGCTGTTGTTGCTGCAGCTTGAGCCGAAGTGGCCAGACTGCTGTGAAGCAACAGGTGAAGTTGATCAGGATTTGGTCGCTGGTCTGATTTTATTCTAATTAAAAGCATGGCAAAGATAAATGATCCTGTAGAGCTTTTAAAATCGTCTGTGTTGTGTTGCTTGTTTCACTCAGATGTTGGGTTAAAAGTGTAGTAACACACACACGCAGACAGGCAGGCAAACATCTTATACCTCACGCTCTTCGTCATCATCAGACTACATCAGACAGAAGGATTTCCATCACAGAACACACAAAGGAGAAGGAGGAAAAATGAAAAGCAGAGCTACATTTAGAAGAGAAGAAGAAGAGGAGGTGTTTGTGAGGAAATGTGGGTTTGAGGAGCTCACAGGAGAGTTCATGTCCATGATCATCTTTCCTCGAGTCTTGTTGCGTTCGCGGTGGTCGGCCCGTTTCTGCTTCTGTTGCAGCACTCGCTCCCGGGTGGTTCGGTACTCCAGAGCGAACTCGCTGAGGATTTTACTGAACCTGTTGACGCTGATCTCTCTCACGCTGTAGGCCGGATGGCCCAAGTACAACAGGAACGAATGAAACCTGGGGGAGGATTACAGGAGCTGATAGTCAAATATTTGTTTAAATAAACAGCATATTTGACCACAAATACTATTGAAGATAAATGTTTAGAATCAAATTTCAGCATGCAGAGTAAATCCAAACACTTTGGATTAATTAGGTTCAGAATCAAACCTATAAAGAAAAATAGAAATTCATATTTGTCACTAATAAAAAGGGATGGTTTGAAGCCAAATATTTAGATAACATGCATTCATTAACTGATCTGTTTCACAAACGGCATTCCATACAAACACATTTACAGTAATGAGCGGCTGTAAATGCAAGCCAGATGCTATTTAAACTCATCATCAATGTAAATTAGACTGAAAGTATACAATATTAGGAGTTACGTACCTGTTGATTAACCTGCGGTGAACAATCTTGAGGATGATGATTCTTTCTGCACAGTCTTTGAGGAAGTCAGACATCTTCTGCTTCAGCTGAGGCTTCATCTCATGCTTAGCGATCACCTTCAGGTGGTCCCATGAGGCTTTGCAGCGCCGCTCCATCTGGCACAAGGTCTCCTGCAGCTGATCAAAATCCACCTGATGGGAAAATGACAAGAAAAACATGTTTACCCATTAAACCAACTAGAAATAGTCATTTTTTATGTTTTGAATAATAATTTCTAGTATATTTATAACAAAAAAAATGGTAACTTTTGTGAGTAAAATGCATTGTTTTAATTCTCTTGAGACAGATCAAGCTGATATGGAAACCTCTGTGACTGACGTGGTCCAGAGGGGCTTTATTGGTCCTTTTCGCTTCATTTATGGACATTTTACAGCATATTGATGAGGAGGAGAGCAGCGTACTTTTGCAGAGCGTGTGATGGCTCCTATCTCAGAGTAGAGGTCGGTGCTCTCAGGGAAGTTTTCCACCACTGCAGAACAGGTGTGATGGAGCAGGGACTGCTTATGGACTGTGTCCTTCACTTCAGGAACCTTCTCCAAATATGTCAGCTCAAAGCCTTTGGCCTGAAAATGTTATCATATTTATTTAGTTGTGTGACCTCTACCTTTTACTCCAGCTCAGCGTGAGTAAACCTGTTCTAGTTGTAACTCACATTGGCGCCATTGAGGAAATTTCCAATGGAGAGCAGCGTAGAGAGGATGTATCTGAGAGTTTTGTTCTTCACCAGTTGCTCCATTCCTTCCTTCAGATCCTGCAGAGGCTCTGCCACTTCCTGGGAGGAGGACGTGAAGGGAAACACACAACGCATCATCACTCCATCACATTTCATTAGTCTGCAGGTATGCACGCCGTAGCGGGTACACCTCATCGCCACACACCATCTGCTCTTGTTTAAAGTTGCTTTTAGCTTTAAAATATGCTCCCAAATAGGAGAACTTTTTTTGTTAATTGTTTTAGTGGTTTCCTGTGGTTTCACTCTCCCTGGGCTGCCACCTTACCATGGTGGAGGGTTTTGAGTGTCTCAATTATCCTAGGAGCTAAGTTGTCTGAGGCTTGCTGCCTCTGGTAGGGTCACCCATGGCAAACAGGTCCTAGGTGAGGTATCAGCAGCCTGAAGACCTCTTATTGGTATGAAGATTGCTGTATAGTCACTGACACTAGTCAGTGACTTGATGCAATTTGCTGGGTTCCTTATATAGGAAACATTATTTCTGATTGGCTTAATGAACTGACCTGAATTGGAATTTTTATTATGTGAAGTGCCTTGAGACGACTCTTGTCGTGATTTGGCGCTATATAAATAAACTTGAATTGAATTGAATTGAATTATGATGAACTATATAAATGGAAACCGTGTTCCCTCGCCCGGACGTGGGTCACCGGGGCCCCCCTCTGGAGCCAGACCTGGAGGTGGGGAATGTTGGCGAGCGCCTGGTGGCCGGGCTTTCACCCATGCAGCCCGGCCGGGCACAGCCTGAAGAGGAAATGTGGGTGCCCCTTCCCATGGGCTCACCACTCGTGGGAGGGGCCAAAGGGGTCGGGTGCAGTGTGTGACGGGTGGTAGTCGAGGGCGGGGACCTTGGCGGTCTGATCCTCGGCTACAGAAGCTGGCTCTTGGCACATGGAATGTCACCTCTCTGCTGGAGAAGGAGCCTGAGTTGGTGTGTGAGGTTGAGAGATTCCGACTAGATATAGTCGGACTCACCTCAACGCATGGCTCTGGCTCTGGAACCAGTTTCCTTGAGAGGGGTTGGACTTTCTACCACTCTGGAGTTAATCCAACTGGGAGGCGCCGAGCAGGGGTGGGCATACTAGTTGCCCCCCATCTTGGGGCCTGTACGTTGGGGTTTACCCCAGTGAATGAGAGAGCAGCCTCCCTCCGCCTACGTGTGTGTGTGTGTGTGGGGGGGGGGGGCGGGTTCTGACTGTGGTCTGTGCTTATGCACCAAACTACAGTTCAGACCACCCACCCTTTTTGGAGACCTTGGAGGGGGTGCTGGAAAATGCTTCTTTCAGTGACTCCCTCGTTCTGCTGGGGGACTTTAACGCTCACGTGGGCAACAACAGTGAGACCTGGAGAGGTGTGGTTGGGAGGAACGGCCTGCCTGATCTGAATTCGAGTGGTGTTTTGTTATTGGACTTCTGTGCCAGTCATGGATTGTCCATAATGAACACCATGTTCAGACATAAAGGTGTCCATATGTGCTCTTGGCCCCAGGATGCCTTAGGCCGCAGCTCGATGATCAGCTTTGTTGTTGTTTCATCTGACCTGCGGCCGTATGTCTTGGACACTTGGGTGAAGAGAGAGGCGGAGCTGTTAACTGACCACTACCTGGTGGTGAGTTGGCTCAGATGGTGGGGGAGGATGCCGGTCAGACCAGGCAGGCCCAAACGTATCGCGAGGGTCTGCTGGGAATGTCTGACAGAGTCTCCCGTCAGAAGGAGCTTCAATTCCCACCTCCGACAGAACTTCCAAAATGTTCTGGGGGAGGCAGGAGACATTGAGTCTGAATGGACCCTGTTCCGTGCCTCCATTGTTGAGGCGGCTGACCAGAGCTGTGGTCACAGGATCGTTGGTGCCTGTCATGGTGGCAACCCCCGAACCCGCTGGTGGACACCGGCGGTCAGGGATGCTGTCAAGTTGAAGAAAGAGTCCTATCAGGTCTTTTTGGCCTGTGGGACTCCAGAGGCAACTGACTGGCAGTCCAAGCGGAAAGCGGCTCGGGTGGTCGCCAAGGCAAAAACCCGGGCATGGGAGGAGTTCGGTGAGACCATAGAGCAAGACTTCGGTACGGCTTCGAGGAGATTCTGGTCCACCATCCGGCGCCTCAGGGGGGGAAAGCAGGGCGCTACCAACACTATCTATAGTGGGGACGGTGTGCTGCTGACCTCTACTCAGGACGTTGTTGATCGGTGGGCAGAATACTTCGAAGACCTCCTCAATCCCACCGAGACGTCTTCCAGTGAGGAAGCAGAGTCTGGGGACTTTGGGTTGGCCTCTCATATCTCTGGTGATGAGGTCTCTGAGGTGGTTTAAAAGTTCCTCTGTGGCAAGGCTCCAGGGGTGGATGAGATCTGCCCGGAGTTCCTTAAGGCTCTGGATGTTGTGGGGCTGTGTTGGCTGACGCGGCTCTGCAATATAGCGTGGACATCGGGGGCAGTCCAACTGGACTGGCAGACCAGGGTGGTGGTTCCCTTATTTAGAAAGGAGGACCGCAGGGTGTGTTCCAAATACAGGGGGATCACACTCCTGAGCCTTCCTGGTAAGGTCTATTCAGGGGTTCTGGAGAGGAGGGTCCGTCGGATTGTTGAGCCTCAGATTCAGGAGGAGCAATGTGGTTTTCGTTCTGGCCGTGGAACACTGGACCAGCTCTATACCATTAGGGGGATCCTGGAGGGTGCGTGGGAATTTGCCCAACCAGTCTACATGTGTTTTGTGGATTTGGAGAAGGCGTTTGACCGCTTCCCTTGGGGGGGCCCTGTGGGGGTTACTCCAGGAGTATGAGGTACCAGGCCCTCTGATACGGGCTGTTAGGTCCCTGTATGACCGGTGTCAGAGCTTGATCTGCATTGCCCGCAGTCAGTCGGGCTCGTTCCCAGTGAGAGTTGGACTCCGCCAAGGCTGCCCTTTGTCACTGATTCTGTTCATAAGCTTTATGGACAGGATTTCTAGGCACAGCCAAGGTGTGGAGGGCATCCGTTTTGGTGGCCTGAGGATCAGGTCTCTGCTTTTTGCAGATGATGTGGTCCTGTTGGCTTCATCAGAACGTGATCTCTGGCTCTCACTGGAGCGGTTCGCAGCCGAGTGTGAAGCAGCTGGGATGAGAATCAGCTCCTCTAAATCTGAGACCATGGTCTTGATTCAGAAAAGGATAGAATGCCTTCTCCGGGTCAAGGATGAGGTCCTGCCCCAAGTGGAGGGGTTTAAGTATCTCGGGGTCTTGTTCATGAGTGAGGGAAAACTGGAGCATGAGATCGATAGGCGGATTGGTGCTGCATCTGCAGTGATGCGGGCGTTGTACCGGTCTGTCGTGGTGAAGAGAGAGCTGAGTCAGAAGGTGAAGCTCTCAATTTACCGGTCGATCGTTCCTACCCTCACCTATGGTCATGAGCTTTGGGTAGTGACTGAAAGAACGAGATCGCGGATAGAAGCGGCCAAAATGAGTTTTCTCTGAAGACTGGCTGGGCTCTCCCTTAGAGATAGGGTGAGAAGCTCGGTCATTCTGTAGGGGCTCAGAGTAGACCCGCTGCTCCTCCACATCGAGAGGAGCCAGTTAAGGTGGCTCGGGCATCTGGTCAGGATGCCTCCTGGACACCTCCCTGGTGAGGTTTTCCGGGCAGGTCCAATCGGGAGGAGCCCTAAAGGTAGACCCAGGACACGGTGGAGGGACTATGTCTCTCACCTGGCCAGGGAACACCTTGGGATTCCCCCGGAGGAGCTGGTCCAAGTGGCTGGGAAGAGGGAAGTCTGGGCCACTCGCCTAAGGCTACTGCCCCTGCGACCCGACTCCGGATAAGCGGATGAAAAAGGATAGATGGATGGATGGTTTCCTGTGAGGTATGTTGCCCTGCAATAAAGCTTCACGAGCAAATTGTCACACAAGTTCAAATCAGGAGCACTGCTCTGGCGAACACACTGTCCTGGAGAGATAAAATACAGTATTCTGCCGATTGTGAAGTTTACAGTACAATAAAAAGCATGTTTTTCATTCTCATAGCCCTCTGACTTTGAATGTTTTCTTCCTGGCTGCATTCATTGTTTGACAGGGTAATAATGGAGCTCCAGCAGTTATGTTCTGATGTAACTGATGTTTCATCAATTTTATTTGCACTTCCTGCCAGAAGTACCTCACACACACACACACGCACGCACACACACACACACACACACACACACACACACACACACACACACACACACACACACACACACACACACACACACACACACACACACACACACACACACACACACACACACACACACACACACACACACACAACAAGACACAATATTTTACACTTTTATCCTGCTATAAAGGTTCAATAGAGAGTTGTTTATTTACAGTTGGGAACTGAATCTCTATTTAGCTTTGTTGGGGCTCACAATGAACCAGGAGCTCTGATAAATTGCCCACACACCTCCATAAATCAGACATGTGATAAAAAGATTGGTTTTCCTCGCCCTCTTGGCCAGAACATGAATAAGAAATTAGCTACATGCTGATTGGCTGGTTCGCCCTGATGACTTCATGATGCTGTCTGAAGCTATAAGCTGTGTGTGTGTGTGTGTGTGTGTGTGTGTGTGTGTGTGTCCAGTACATCCTGGAACAAGACTGTTGCTCATCAACTTTCTTCTTTGTTGTTTTCCTCTCACCCAACAAGTGCGTTAGCAGCTCCGGTTTGCGTTAACTGTATTTCTAGTGTTAGCATTAGCTCAGGCTAGCGTTGTTTTGTGGTTAGCATTACCACAACCACTTTCTACCATTTGTGGGAAACATGTTGAAACATGAAAAAGTATTTTAAAAAATATGTATTTAATCTATTGTTAAAAAAATAAAATGCCTCACCTTTTCAAGATGACTAATTTACACAGAGAGCTGGTTCAATACGGCTCTGACTTCTTGTCATGCTACATTAGACCAGCCAACACACCTTTATTCAACAACAGCAAGGTAAATGTAGTTTTAAATTCTTCTTAAAAAGAGAAAACACCATGTGATGTATTTAAGTACTTCATTTTTGTTATTCACTGAAATAAACTCAAAGGTTGTTTTTTTTACACAAAAAAAGTACTTTCAGTTAAAGCTGACCTTCTCCGTTGCTTCATAGTCCATCTTGAAGGCCCAGAGCTGAAGTCTGGCAGAGAGCTCACTGATGGAGGACAGAGTAATAAGAAACTGTTCAGCAGAACCCAGCGGGACATCTGGGTTTACCATCTGGGCCTCCTGGATCTTCTGCTTCTCCTCCTCTGTCGGGATCATCGTCAGGAGTTTCTAAGAGCAGAGACAGAGGCGTGGCTGTTAGAACAGTGGACTGATTTGGGAATTTTTTTACTTTTCAGCTCTGTCAGAATCTTTCACCTCGATGCCTTCTTTGTTGAGTGCGTACTCATCAAAGTTAAGGATGGCCGTCTTGATGGTGCGAGGGGGAGGCAGGACTGTCAGGCCGATGTTGATGGCATTACTTCTCTTTGAATCCAAAACAATGATCTCCTGGCGTTTGCCATCTGCTGCTGTTTTCTGGGATTCAAAAAGATCATGATGGGTCAGCGCAGGACCAGCATGTCCCTCGTCCCAAATGTCTAAACCTCAAAAGACAATAATTGTTTTTTAAAAGGTTTTACAAGAACTAGAGTAATGAAAAGCTGTCTTTTGGTTGGAATCAAAACATGTAAACATGAAAGATCAGCTTAAACTACAGTTCTGAAATTATAATGCATGAAAACTATTTGAAAGGATCTTTCGGATGTGATGTTAAATGTTTGACATTTTAAATCTCATAAAAACACTTTCTTATTTTTGCACAACAATCCGATGAATCTCTGACACATACAGAGACAGATACACAACATAACAAACACATCTTGTGTGTTTGTAGTTACACTCCTGGTAGTCTTGGCTAGTAGTCTTAAACTGGCACAACTAACATATATCACTGTTTTCATACTTCACTTTTATATTGACTTTTGCATAAATGTTAAAATGTTCTGAAGGGACCTCAAATGGATTTTGATTTTTTACAAAGTTTTTGGTAGCAGAGCTTGCTTGGGATTGGCTACTGGCGCATGTGAGAGCATTTTAACACAACGCGAGGAGAAGACCTTTGGAGGAAGGCCTGGAGTCAAGAAGGGCAATAAAGAAGTCAATTATCTCCACGAAAAACATCAAAGACTGAGGTTCTGCCTAAGATTCTGATCAGCCCCTTTTCTGATTTTTGGGCTTTCAGAAGAATTGTGAGCAGAAGAAAAGCTGAGGCTCCCATCTGTCTTGTGTACAGATAAAGCCTCTTGAGGCCATTCATATGTGGAGGTTGTTTCTCAGCAAGAAAGTGGACTCACTTAGAGTTTAGCCCCAGAACATGGAAATGAATAAAGAATGGTACCTAAACATCCTCCTAGAGGAACTCCTCTAACCAAGCGGCATAAAGCTAAAGTCATTTTGGGTCAATTACTAGAAAACTCCCCAGACTTTAATACTGTCGGAAACTTGGGAAAATATTGAAAAAGAAGCATCAAAACATTGAGAGAGGTATTTACCTTTTTGTACTTGTACTTGTCTCATGTGTAGAAATGTTCCTAAATACAAGAACAGCGCTGACCATGCACACGAACAGGACCCCAGTGGTGGAATGTACACTGCAATACTGAATGTCTCAGTCATCCACAAATTAATGTAACCCATTAAGTAATCCTGTCTGTGGAGAAACAGCTTCATCACTGAACTGGTGTTAGAAGCTACAAAAGACCTATTACCGACGAGAATCTGACATTGTAACGTGGCTGATCTTGAGCATGCACTTTGGAGGGAACGCGTCTTTCATGAGCGCACTGATCTGAATCCAGAGTGGTTCCTGAGCAGATACCACGTCCTGAAGGAGATGCTTCTGGATCTACGCTGTGATTTGGAACCCTTTGTGGAGCGACAGACAAACATCACAAATCCGATTCATGTTCATGTTCAACTATTGAAAACTTCAGGGTTTCTTCACAAGAATCCCCTCCAGAACCTTCCCCAACTTTGCTCCCCAAACATTCCAATTCTGACGCTAACCCTAACCCCTGCACTCAGACAACAAACATTTCCAAACCTGGACAAAACTACAAAGTTATTTCGTATTCAGTTTTAAGTCTCACCACATTTACCACCTCTGCAACTTTCTCCCAGGCAGCATTCTTTCTTTCACTGGTTAGAGAACTTTCGCTTTGACAGTCAGCGACTCAATCGCTGTCACTGGAGTTCTTTTTGAGTGGAACACAGGAAGTTCCTTCATGAGCTCAGGATGTGCTGTGACCAAATGTGACAAGAGTTTGTTTCTGTATGTAAATAACTGAACGGACACAAGCACAAGTAAGCATGTGTAGGATTTATCAACAGTGGACTGCAGAGGAACATGCACCGCATGTTTCATGAATCAGGATTTGGGCCGTTCAAATAAACTTTCTAAATTCAGGTCATAGAATGGAAAATAGGACAGTTCCCTCGAATGTTTGAGAGATGAGGGCCCACAGTGTTTGTGTCATTCTCTGAACATTTAATGACAGGTGTACCTTTGTAACCGGTATTTCCTTTGACCTGGACTCAAACAGATGCTCTAGTTTCCCGGTGTCCAACTTTACAGGTTCCACTTTGGACCAGAGCGAGTCTCCGCTCCACTTGTAGTGCTGGTACTGAGAGTCTGTCGGGCGAACCTGGTGATAAACACATCCCGTCACATGGACACAAATGTTAGCTTCCAGTTGATTATTTAATATTATCTGATCAATGGAAAATTTTCATCTGGGTTTGTAAGATCCTCTAGGAAAGTAGACGTCGTGGTTAAGGTGAATGGAGTTGGAGATTCAGGATTATGATGAAACGGGGAGAAAACTAAACTTTAATAAGACAAATATCACTTTTATAAACATGCACTTACAGAAACACATCTCTTCTGAATAAATGTAAATTGGTAAAGATGTGGTGACGTACCTCACTCCAGAACAGCCTGATTGTCTTCTTCTTTTTACTAAAAAGCGGCGGCTCTGGTGGCGGAGGCACAGGTGCCGGAGTGCTAAAGGACGGAGGCGGAGGAGGCCTCATGACGCCAATTATGGGAGGGGGAGGAGGGCAGCTACCTAGCATGGATGGGGGTGGAGGGAATCTTGGAATGAAGGGTGGAGGAGGCGGAGGCGGCGGGAGGTCACCACATACTCCCATCAAAACTGCATCCAGGAGGTCCTTATCGTCCTCCTCCGTCAGGTCGGTGAAGTTGATGTCCCTGATGCGCAGCTCTCGAGGGCTGGCCAGGAGCTGGTCCCAGATTGTGTCAGACTCCTTCTTGGGTGGGGGAGGAGGGGGCTCATTGGCAGGGATGTCCAGGTGAGGGTGAGGCAACCCCAGGTCCCTAACCAAGTCCCCAAACCGCTCAGCCAGAACACGTATGCTCCCCCGATGCTCCGACTTGTCATCCTTATTGTCGCTCGTGTTATCACTCTGCTCCCAATTAGCCTCCTGGTTTGTCTCTCTGTCTTCTCCCTCCCCCTTCTCTTTTCTCTTCTCTCCATCCTCCTCTTCTTCCTCTTCACTAGGCTTTGTGTTCTGAGAGTACAGCATGTCCAGCATGAACAGTTTGCTGTTGAGGAGCTTGCTGCAATTTTCACTCACTTCTGCTTCCTTTAAGCCTGAGAAGGTAGAGAAAGTGGGTTTACACACCTGAGTCTGGAGCTGGGTCAGAAAACGTATGTGTGTGTGTGTGTGTGTGTGTATGTGTGTGTGTGTGTGTGTGTGTCCAAATAAATTAAAATAACTAACAACATTAAAAACAACTTTTCTTTTTGTTTTGTTTTGTATTTTTATGAAGGGTGAGGCGTACCACATAACAAATACCTCATTAAATAATCCTTTAAATGTGTCGCTGCGGATGTGTCATGACTACACAAATAAGTAAAGCTGTAATGGCAATGATGTAACAGGTCTCTGCTTTGTTTTGGTAGATTTGGCGTCAACATCGTCCTAGCGCGCAACGTTCTGAGTCTTAAAAACACATAAAATGCTGAAAAACGCTGGCAGCGAAGGGCTTCTCTGATCAGGAAATGACCGGCAGTGAATGAATTAATTATGCACTCATTTATTTAGCAACAGAACACCACTGGTGTGTGAGGTTCTCCACTTACTATATCCGAGTAGGAGAAACAGCCGGCTTCTACCACTTCAACTTTAGGACAAACTACCAGAGTCCCAAAAAGAAAAACACCATTTGAAGCCACGGATAACAAAAGACATTTGGACCTAGAAAACTGTGACTGGTGATTAGCGCTAGCTCGTTGCCTCTGACAATGTGGGTTTCTGCTTCTGGCAGAAGTGTTTCAGGGAAGATAGGAAGATGGAAGTTAACCGAGGGGAGGGGTGTTCTGTGACCGTGTTTGTAATTCAAAGCCAAACTTGTTCTGTAGATTCACTATAACAGCTTTAATTCAATTCTTAATTCATTAGACAGCAGTAGCTCGGGAGGTAGAGCGGGTTGTCCATTAATCGGAAGGTTGCAGGTTTGATCCCGGCTCCGGACAGAGAACTCTGCTCTCCCGCTCTCACGGAGGAGCGCTGCGGGACGGAGTGCGTGACACACACACACACACACACACACACACACACACACACACACACACACACACACACACACACACACACACACACACACACACACACACACCAGACGGCCGAATCCGCCAGAATTAACTCTTTTTCTGGGGGAAACCCTGGAATGATACACTTTAGTGTAAAGTGCTTTGGAGTACTCTGACTCTGAAAGGTGCTATACGAGTACGAGTCATTTATCATTACATAAGCCACAAAGAACAAAAGACATTTATCAATTCACTATTAAATTATTTCATGTTCCTGTGCTGCACATCATGAATTTATTCTATCCATCACTCATCTATCAAAGTCAGGGGGTGGGGCTAAGGCCAATCGAGTACGGACGATTGCTCTGGTCTGAATGGGAAAAATGGAAGCTGACCAATCAGATATTAGGGCATATTGGCGGGTCCAAGTGGCAGTTTCAATGGATTCATGATGAGCTATAGCACCAGGGGACTAAGATACCAAAACACATATGCATTATTTTAACATGTGACTGACTCTGTTTCAAATCAACAGGTTTGATTTTATTTCTTTAATTATATATTTCTTGAATTAATGCCACAATTAATTCAGTCAATATAAATATATTCATTGAATGGACATTATTCCAGTTTCATTTATTTAATGACACATTTAAATAACTATGTTATAAGGCATTCATTAATTGTTAATTAAATTGGAAAAGGGTAGAATGCCTTCTCCGGGTCAGGGATGAGGTCCTGCCCCAAGTGGAGGAGTTTAAGTATCTCGGGGTCTTGTTCACGAGTGAGGGAAAGCTGGAGCATGAGATCGATAGGCGGATTGATGCTGCATCTGCAGTGATGCGGGCTTTGTACCGATCTATCGTGGTGAAGAGAGAGCTGAGTCAGAAGATCAAGCTCTCGATTTACCGGTCGATCTACGTTCCTACCCTCACCTATGGTCATGAGCTTTGGGTAGTGACCAAAAGAACGAGACTGCGGATACAAGCAGCCGAAATGAGTTTTCTCCGCAGAGTGGCTGGGCTCTCCCTTCGAGATAAGGCGACATGCTTGTTCATCCGGGAGGGGCTCAGAGTAAACCCGCTGCTCCTCCACGTCGAGAGGTGCCAGTTAAGGTGGGTTGGGTATTTGATTAAGATGCCTCCTGGACGCCTCCCTGGTGAGGTTTTTTGGACACGCCCAACTAGGAGGAGACCCAAGGGGATACCCAGGACACGCTGGAGGGACTATGTCTCTCGGCTGGCCAGCGTACTCCTTAGGATTCCCCCAGAAGAGTTGGCCCAAGTACCTGGGGAGAGGGAAGTCTGGGCGTCTCGGCTTAGGCTGCTGCCCCTGCAACCCGACTCCGGATAAGCGGTTGGAAATGGGTGGATGGATTATTTATTGTTATTTGTCACCGGTCAGCCTCCATAAGTCATGTGATAAAAACATGGTGGTCAGTTCAGGTCTGTTTTAAAAGCATGCCAACTTCAATATTGTCATTCATAATGGGTAACAGGTAGAGTGATCATTTCCATGTGAATCTTTGGATTAGAATCCTGAAAATAAACTAAAACTTCCGTTCCGTAAATGATCCTCTAGTAAAAACTACCCACCATTCTCACTGCTGCCCCTCTCCTCTCGCTCCAGGGTGCTGCTAGCAGACGAGATGCTGGAGGCGGAGCAGTTGTCCTTCTCGTTCACCTCCTCATTCTGTCGCTCCTTGTCACTCAGGATACCAGTGTCGTTCTCTGCTCCCTCGTCTCTTTGCTTCTCAGGTTCCTGCTCAGGCTCCTCAACGTCCTTCTCCTTGTCTGATGCCTCCTCCTCCTCCTCCTGGACTTCCTCTTCCTTCTGTTCTTCCTCTTCCTCTGCAGTGGCTTCTGCCTCCTTCTCCTCTGTTACTACGCTAGCGCAGGAGTCATCAGCCTCTCCTGCCACATGAAAATGTTAGTTCATACCAAACATGTCTTGCTGTAGCTCCACTCAGTAAAAAAAATCATCACACAGATCCCTACGATGTGGTTCTCTGTATGCTAACTGTCAATCACTGATTGGGTCACACACAGGACAAACTCTGCATTCATGGGCAAAAAAGCAAAAACGCACAAGCAGGTTGTTGCTGGACCAGGATATGAGCAGGAAATGAAGAACTGAGTTCCTGTTTACATCAAATCACACCCGTGTGCACATTACACACACGTAAGTGAGCAGCACAGTCCGCGCAGTGATGCAGGCAGGGCTAGAAAAACACAACTCCTCCACCCGCCTGTGGGAGCTACAGTACCTGCACTCGGGGCTGGACTTCCACTCCACAACAAGGCTGTTTTCTTACACAAGACGTTTGGCATCGCTCCCAAAAAGGGTTCTTTCAGAAACGTGTTTGACCCTTTGCACCCCGTTGTGTGTGTGTGTGTGTGTGTGTGTGTGTGTGTGTGTTCATTTTAACCTCTCTGCTGACCTCTCCTTTTCCCCCTACAGGTTGCAACAATCTGCCATTTTTCCTCCTCCGTTGCTCACAGATGCATGCTCATTTAAACCGAAAGCTGCAAAACAAAACTGTTTCAGGTTAAGAACGATTGCTAAAGGCCACGCGATTGGGAATTTAACCCAACTGGTTTTCATTACGACTCCACAAGTTCAAAGTCATAAAAGCTCACAGAAAAACAAGAACAAAACTAAACTTGAAAGGTTTTGAATTTATCCTCACTTTAAATGCAACATCTTGTTTGTATTTTATTTATCTTTAGAGTTTAGTACGAATTCTGCAAAAACAGTGCTTTGCTGGTCGGTCTAGCCACGCTCCATTGTAGCCTCAGCAGGTCCACCATTGGTTCAGCTAAATGTAGACTGAGGCCTAGTCCACACGTAGCCGGGTTTTTTAAAAACGAAGATCCGCCCCTCCAAAAACTTCACACCACCTCGTTTAAAACAAAACTGTCCACACGTACCCGGATAAATACGTTGTTAAGGACATGCCAGACCTGTAGGCGGCAGTACTTCCCCCGTTCTTAACCTCGTCCTTCGTCTGTGGTCTTCCACAAGGAGCAGTAATTCCACTTGCACAAACACATAAGCAGAAAGCGCTTGGACAATTGATAAAGCGAGCGCAGCTCTGAGGGCATCCATGCTGTCGGCTAGTGTAAACACAGGTCGCACACGTGATGTCAGCATTTTTCTGTCGCGGAAAGTGACGTTGCAGACCTTAAAACTCCGGTTTTGTCTGTCCACACACAGACACCTAAAACGGAGAAAACGCAGATCTTCACTTTGGCTGGAGTTTTTAAAAAGATCCGTTTTCGTGTGAAAAAACTCCGTTTTCGTGTGGATGACAGGCCAGAACGTAGAAAAATATCAACGTTTTGGCAGATCCCCGGCTACGTGTGGACAGGGCCTGAGCCAGTCACAGCGCTCTATGTTTGTAGAGCGACGTTGGGCAGGCTTAGAGCTGTGATGGAGAAAAACTACAAAGATGGCGTTGGCCCAGGAACAGCGCTCTTCTAAAGTGGCTTTAGCATCAACTTATGATGATTTACTACGTTCACACTGCAGGCTAAAGTGCGCCAAATCTGATTTTTTTTCCCCACATGCGATCCATATCTGGCATCAATCAGACATTGCATGTGCTTTCTAGAGCCAGAGAGCTGAAAGGGGGCGGAGCTAAAAGGATTTGAACCAACAACCGCATCAATGTGTTTGGTGCAGTCACGTGATGACACAAGCCAAGTACAATGCCATTATGACCATGTCTTTGGAAGTTAAAAAAAGTTTGAACCTATCTAGGGGGCACTGTGACCATTTACAACTAAATCCCATAGAGGTCATCTTTGGTCATCAAAGATGGTTTTCTGTTAATTTGATATCAATCAAACGTTGCATGGGTCATCTAGAGCCAAAAGGCTGTAAGTGCGTGGAGTTAAAGTGATTTGAACGAGTAAACATTTACATGTGTTGATTGCAGTTGCGTGATGACTCTCACCATGTTTGATATAGTTTGGAGCATTTTTGTAGAAGTTACAAAGGTTTTATTGTATCTAGGGGGCGCTGTCCCAAATTTAGGAAAATATCCCAAGGAGCAGTTTTTAGGTTGACAACAATCATTTCCATGTAGTTTGGTGTGAATTGCATTGTGCATGTGTTATTCAATTCAATTCAATTCAAGTTTATTTATATAGCGCCAAATCACGACAAGAGTCGTCTCAAGGCACTTCACATAATAAACATTCCAATTCAGGTCAGTTCATTAAGCCAATCAGAAATAATGTTTCCTATATAAGGAACCCAGTAAATTGCATCAAGTCACTGACTAGTGTCAGTGACTATACAGCAATCCTCATACTCAGCAAGCATAAAGCAACAGTGGAGAGGAAAACTCCCTTTTAACAGGAAGAAACCTCCAGAGAATCCCGGCTCAGTATAAGCAGCCATCCTCCACGACTCACTGGTTATGTCAGTCTGAACAGCACAAATTCTATATTTTCACATATTTCTAATCCGAACCATGTCACGTTCATTTGTGGTACTGATTCCGATACATATCTGGTGTTTTTGAAAGCGACTGCAGTCTGAACGGTCATGTCGGATAAAATCGGTCTCCTACCTCACTGAGTCAGCGGAGGTGTGCGTCATGTGTTGCTGTGATGTGTCGGTCTGGACATCCTGTCAACTTTTGGAATGACAAGGAGAACATGAGAACGAGAGCGGGAGGTGCTGCTGGAGCGAAGCGTCTCTCCGGTCCCAGTCTCCGTGAGTGTGTGTGTGTGTGTGTGTGTGTGTGGTGGGGGCAGGCTTTCTGTGAATGAACTTAATAACAGAACATTTACGGTGAATTATAATTTGAGAAGACCGCTGGAATAAGGAGTAAAACAGTTGGACCGTTTTGAAAACTGTTTCCAGCCCAAAAGGAGAGACTTTACAGTGTGAGCCTGATCCTGTGGATGAACTGTCAGTGAAGGCTTTCACATCACAACTCCGCTTCTCCTGGCTCTGACTCCAGTGTGTGACTTGTTGTCTTCTGCACATGCGGGTCGCTTCGGGGCCATGAAGCGTTCACACTGGAGAGAGTTTGATGTTGCATTTCAGTCGTGATTTGAACAGCCACATAAAAAAAATCAGATTTACTCAAAAAATCGGAATTGAGCATCAAGGCCTGCAGCGTGAACGTAGCCTTAGTCAAGGGCAGATAGAATCCTCCATTTAGAAAAATGATTTATTTGTTTCTTCTTCTTCTTCTTTGATGGTGTCAGGCAGACTGCCTTGTTGACTGAATTCCATAGACATGAATATGTCACATTGTTCCTTGCTCTGATTGGTCCTAGTGCTGTCCAATTGCGTGCAGAGACTGAAAGCCAATCGTAGACTCCGTCCCAGGATGGAGCTCTGTCTGGTCGTGGCAGGACTACACATTTAAATATCTAGGATGGTTTGCCAGGCGAGTCCTTTTTATGTGTAAAGGAGGACTTTGACAACGTGTCGATTTAGTATTTAACATCAGTGTGACACATGATGTCATCTGTGTTCATAAGAGTGTGGTGAAATGAAGAAGTTAACCAGGAATCAAGATCAAAAGGCCTCTTTGGCCTTCCTGTGTGTGCATGGTGGAGAGGTTGTGTTGAAGTGACCCTACCGTTTTCAGTGGTGGGTGGCTCTGCTTCAGCGTCAGCTTCTGCATCAGCTTCTGCATCCTCATGAGAAGCAAATGAAGACGGCGTGCTGCTGCGTGACGAAGAAGCCCAAGCCTCTGAGGGTTCAAAGGGAGGGCCGAGGTCCGGACGAGTCCTTGGCACCCGAACACGGTCCCGCTCGTATTCCTCTGCTGCCAGCCGCTCCACGTTCTTGTACCTGAAGAAGATCAAGAGAGGTGAGGGGTGGAAGAATCGTCTAATCAGAGACAATGCATCCTCTGTCTGTGCTTTCTCAGCGGTCATGTTGCCAAATTGCCCAAAACAAAAGCACCTGTTTCTAATCTGTGCCAAGAGCACTGAACTCATTTGGTCTCCCTTTAACCCCTTTTCTCCCATTCTAATCCCACCATGCTCCTTCAGCTGTCTGCAGGTCCACGGCTGCTTTCATCACTCACTTCTTGTGGGAAACAAACTTCATCTCTCCCTCCTGTCTGCTCCATTCATCTCATATCAACAGCTCATAGATTACACACAAAGGGTTAAAATAAAAGGAGATAAATGGGTAAAAGAGGGGAGAGGTGATTACTAAGTGAGGACAGATAAAGCAAACCTGCTCAGCTTTTGTGTCCTTTCCCCTTCTCCGTCCTTCTCCTCCTCCCTCTCACTTTCTCCTTCTGCTAAACTTGACCATGCAACCTAGACAGATTAGGAGGTCTGAGTTAACCCCCCACCTCTCTCTCTCTCTCTCTCTCTCTCTCTCTCTCTCTCTCTCTCTCTCTCTCTCTCTCTCTCTCTCTCTCTCTCTCTCTCTCTCTCTCTCTCTCTCTCTCTCTCTCTCTCTCTCTCTCTCTCTCTCTCTCTCTCTCTCTCTCTCTCTCTCTCTCTCTCATCTTTCAGGCTTTTCTCTGACCCCTCCTCTTTCCCACCGTGCTCTGAATGTGTGGGGCTTCTGTTCAGGCTTCATTAGCATCAGGACACTTCAAAAGTCTGAAGAAACCAGACACTGATACACTTGTGTGTGTGTGTGTGTGTGTGTGTGTGTGTCTCCATATAGTTAAGAATGAAAGAATCAGACAATAGCCTGTCTGCTGAATTATTTTTAACCAGGCATCTTTTAAATAAAATAAAAATAGTAAATTTTCTGATTTATTTTGATTTCTCTTCCATCAGAACCAATTCGACAAATACAAATCTGTAGGCGTGCATCTTCAGTTGGCTTCTTTGTTTTGGGTTTGCAGTTCAGGAAGGACAATAGGAAACAAATGCAACGTGCCAATTTTCCTACCCGTGGGATGCTATAAAAAATGCCTGGTGGTATACTTATCACCATTAGTCACCAGAGTGTTTCAAAACTCAAGAATTATGACCCCTTTGGCTTTCCATTTCATCCACCTCTTGCCGCCACGGATCTCCGGGGCCGTAAAACCTTTACACACTGCTGATGCAAAAGTAACAAGCAGGTCTTCAATCTGAACAAGTCATTCATGTTTTACTTTGGCGAAGAGGGCGTTAGATTGCCGTTTCCCAAAGTTGGGTTGAAGTCCCATTTTTGGGTCGAAAACGTTTAGTTTGTATAAAGTTAGTTCTAATAGATTCTTGTTTTATTATCTGCGTGTTGGTTTGTTCTCTACAGCTGCCCTTATTAACTACAGGTTCAGCCTGCTTTGTTTCCTCTCCTTGAACCAGATTGTTTCCCACTTTGCTAAAGAAGCCGAGCTGAAACTCAACAGTGTGTGTCGGAGAGGAAAAACACAGTTCAGTCTGCCAAATCAGACTCGAGCACAGACAGGAGGATGAAGAAGTAACAGTTACTGATGAGTTAACAAGTCAGCTCATGATGGTGACCTGCCAAAAAACTAACTTCTAGACCCAAAAAGAGCTAATCCTCTAACACAGAGCAGGTTCCGTTTTCTGGAATGTGTTGGGAATTAGAAATAAGGAGCAGCAGAGGAGAGGTGAGGATAATCTGTGTATTCACAGATCCCAGAGTACTAACAGAGTTTTCCTAGCCTAGACATCTAGACGGAGAGTAGCTGAAGCTAAATGATTTTGCTCTGTGTGTCGGTCTAGCCATGCTCCACTAGAACGTCTGCAGGCACGGCCAGTTTGGTGGCGTTCCAATCACAGCGCTCTATCGGTTTGGTGGGCGGGATGTTACTGTGACTGAGCAAAACCAAGATGGCGACAGCTTGCTCGGCTGCTCTCAACCAGTTTGAGCCTGTGACTTTATCTTCTCTCTGTGAGACTGATGGTCATCTGAAGCCCTCAGGTTCCCCTACTGAAACTATTCCACCTCGATTTTTCTGTTCTAGGTCCATCTGTTCTGTCTATTATTAATAGCAGTCTAACTTCCGGTGTGGTTCCTAGAACTCTTAAACATGCAATAGTGCAGCCCCTGATCAAGAGGCCTGGTTTGGATCCCACTGTGCTCTCAAATTTTAGGCCCATTTCCAAGCTTCCATTTTGATCAAAAATCATTGAGAAAGTTGTTTACAGCCAGTTAAAATCTTTTTTAGATGATAACAATGTTTTGGAGATTTTCAGTCAGGTTTTAAGTCTCTTCACAGCATGGAATCTGCTCTGTTGAGAGTTTTTAACGACATCCTCCTTGCAACAGATTCGGGAGATTCTGTGATTTTAGTTCTCTTAGATTTGACTGCTGCTTTCGACAAAGTGGACCATAATATTTTAATGTCACGCTTGGAGCAATGTGTCCGGATTCGTGGCACTGCCCTGGAGTGGTTCAGATCATATCTGGCACAGAGAAGTTTCTGTGTCAGCTGAAACAGTTTCCACTCTGCTACATTGTCATGTGGGGTTCCTCAGGGCTCAATACTTGGTCCTCTACTTTTTAGTTTATATCTGCTGCCTCTACGATCCATTTTTAGAAAGCACAAAATTGCCTTCCATTGCTATGCAGATGGTGCACAGATGTATCTTCCGCTAAAACAAAATGATGGCTGCAGTCTAAAATCTCTAGCGGTTTGTTTGGATGAGGTAAAATCTTGGATGGCTTTTAACTTTTTAAATTTTAATGAGAAAAAGACAGAGAAAATTGTCTTTGGTACTGGTACCTCCAGCAGGCCCACTCCTATGGACTTAGACCCCGTGGCTCTGCACAGAAAGCCAACAGTGACCAACTTGGGTTTTAAAATGGACAGTGATTTTAGGTTGGACAGTCAGATCAGTGCAGTTGTCAAATCCAGCTTCTTCCATTTGAGACAGTTGGCAAAGGTAAGGCATATTTTGACTAAAGAGGATTTTAAAACTGTAATCCATGCTTTTATTACAACTCGTCTGGATTACTGTAATTCTTTGTATTTTTGTATGAGTCAGTCCTCACTGTCTTGACTTCAGAGTGTGCAAAATGCTGCTGCTCGACTTTTAACTGGTACAGGAAGGAGTGAACATATCACTCCTGTTTTATCGTCACTGCACTGGCTTCCTGTCCATTTTAGGGTTCATTTTAAAATTCTTTTATTTGTTTTTAAGTCTCTAAACGGTCTTACCCCGCCCTACCTCTCTGAGCTATTTCACGTTCACTCCTCCTCTCGGTCGCTCAGGTCATCTGATCAGTTGCTCCTGGACGTTCGTTCCAAGGACACAGCGTAAGCTCAGAGGGGATAGGGCCTTCGCTGTTGCTGCTGCCAGACTATGGAACTGTTTGCCAGCACATGTTAGAAAGGCCTCCTCACTGGAAACTTTTAAATCATCTTTAAAGACCCACCTTTTTAGCTTGGCTTTTAACACTGTATAAAGTTTGGATTTCTATTTGATTTTAGTGTTTTTGTCTTAGTGTGCTTCTAATTTTATACTGTATTCCAAGTTATTCTGTTTTATGCTTTTATGTTCAGCACTTTGGCCAGCAAGGGCTGTTTTTGAAGTGCTTTATAAATAAAGTTGGCTTGGCTTGTTTGAAACAGTTTTGGCATCAACTTTGGACTTTTTACAATTGGGCTTTTCATTGAGTCATTGAGTCGAGAGCAGATAAAGGTTATTGTGTCTTTTTGATGGTGTGAGGTAGACATCCTGACATCCGTAGTGGTGAGTACATCATCTTGTTGGTTAACCAATACAAAGCCTAAGTCTCCGTTCTTTTCAGTCGGCTCATGTGTCCCCAGAAGAACGAAAACAGTAATGTACGTGAACGCAGCAAAAAGAGCAATTTTCTAATCCGCTTTGCCTTACGTCCTGAATCGCACATATCTAAATGAAAAGTAACGATGTGCGTTTCGACCACAGCTATGTGTTTAATTTGCTTGTAAAAGTTCGTAATTAGCATGACTAAAACTCAGACATCGACACGTCATCACAAAATCTCCTCTCCCCTAGCATAGCTGCTACTTACCACATGGCCAGATTTATGGTGGTACTTTCCTCCTGAAGGAAGGATTCGAAGTTTGCCGAACTTAAAGCCATTTTTCTTGCTTTTCTCCGTGTCTGGGTCAATTAAGTCAATTTGGTGATGCACATTTGTAGTCCTGGACATATTTTCACACAAAACCTAAAGTAACTTCCTACTGTTAAAAAAAAGTGCATTCTTGGTGGCAAGATGCATCTTTAAAATTCACGGACATCATATGTGAAATCCATGGCACACAACAAACGGAATCAGAAAATAGCGTTTTCAGCCCCGTTGACTTGCATTTATTTTTTCTTTCTTCTGAGGACCCGTGGACCGGAAGTAGATGGGCGTGACTTAGGCTCCCTAAAGCACGTGGATCCCGCCCCATGACTGAGATTCGTCAACGGGTCATGGCCAGACTTAATAACCACATATATACGATAGCTCTCCAGGTCCATTCAGGAAAAATGTATGAAAAAATGTTTAGAAAACGTCAATTTTCTTCATTTTTTTGCTAAGCCTGTCCCCTGCCTTGTAGTACAAAATGCAATTTGAATCGAGCACGACTCAGCATTAGCTAAGTGCGTTAGACATCCGCTTACGTACAGATGCCACTCACAGAGTGTGCACGAGTGTTTGAAGACATACCTAGACAGATATGAAGTTGAAAACTTTCTTATGGACAATACGTTTACAAAGAATACACATATAGATAAACAGCCTAACATGTGAATAAACATGTGTTTTAGCTCTGTTGGACGGCTAGAAATGCGCGTTCCGTAACAATCCGGCCGTAATCATGGAAGTAGGGAGAGGGGCTGTCGCCTCTAGGTGGTGCCCTCTAACCGAAAACTCCAGATTTCTTCTTCACTTGAGTTATTGAGTAAATGAGATCAAAGGCATCATAATTAGTCATAAGCATCATGCTAACCTAACAGGATGTCATTTGCACTGGATGTTTTCTTTAATCTTATTTAAATTTCTAGTCGTGGTTCATTTTCTCACCCTCTTCTCATTTTAATTTACTTTGTACAGCCCAGCGTATGTTTAACTGTTTTAAACTGTAAACGTTTGTCTAAAAAGCAACACAAAGATGTTCAGTAAGACTAAGGATAAAGAGAGGCATGGGCAGAATAGCAATGAAGGGTTTAGCATAATTTGAAGCCCTGGATTTGGCTCTTCCGTCTCACTAATGACACGTTGCTCTGGCTAAGATCCGTCCTAAATGTCAGCGTGACCTCACATAACCTGCTGACTAAATCACTTGCTTCCTGTGATTTCCACCTGCACTCCATATTTATGGAGTCTCGTGAAAGTTCTCCCTGTATGTGTGTTTGAAGAGCACACGTGCATTCAGCGTGAAAGGAAACAAATCCTGAAGTCTGGTTTTCTCAGGGCGCGCGGCCAAAACAATCAAAGACACGGCAGAGAGGAGTGCAGCTCCTTAACGGAGGAGAAAACAGGCAAAAGGAGGAAAAATCTGCTCAGCATCCCAGAGTAGAAGCAGCCAAAGGCGCTGCTTCAACCTGAAAACAATTAGACCACTACCAAGCTTCCTAAAGCTCCGGCTAGAGCGGATTCCCAGCGGGTTCAGCTGGTGTGTTGTCTCAATTTAGTGAACACACACTCACCTCTCCTCCCGTTCAAGCCTGGCCCCCTCCATTTTATCCATATAGTTGCGGCTGTGGGACACACACACACACACACACACACACACACACACACACACACACACACACACACACACACACACACACACACACACACACACACACACACACACACACACAGATTTAAAAGATGGGATAATCAATTTAGTTCTCACGTCCTGCCAAGGTGAATAGAATGTGTGTATGAATCACACACTTAGGATATGTCATGGCTACTTTAATATTTATATAAATTCCATTAGGGACAAAAAACACTTGTGGATTATCTTTTTGTTTTTGTTTGGATTAACAGTTATTATGAACGTAATAACAGTTAACCTATGGGAAGACCTGTAAAAGACTTGTGTCTAAATGACTGTAACTGTTTGCTCATATACGATCATTACTTATTTGCAGTAGATTTATGATTAAAATTAATGCACAAATTTGACATATTAAATTGATTGTAAGCAGAATTTTGGTTGCTTTTGCTGCAAATGTAAACTCTGAATCGGGTTTGTTGTTAAAAATGTAGATTTAATCGGATAATGTGGACTAAGGAGTGAGGGGTAAAAAAGTAATGGAGAAGTTCCTGATCACATTCATCATATAGGTAGACGCCCCATAGCCTGGCACTGCCTACTGGAGCTGGCGTAGCAGCCGGCCGCCATCTTGGATGGGTTCCCAGTGCATTTATTTCTACTGAGAAAGGTGCTTACTTTACCCAACTAAGTCTAAAATCTCAACAACTTTTTTATTCATGAATAAAGTTCAGACCTGTGCTTGTTCCTCTCCTCTCGCTCTATCCTCTGCAGCCTCTCCTCTCTCTCCACACGGCGGCGCTCTCGTTCAGCAGCCAGAGACTCCTGGTGCTGTCGGTAGGAGGAGGACAGGAGTCCACCTAAAGCTGGTCTGAAGGAGAAAAAAACATCTTTTTTCAATTGGATCTGCTTTTGTTTTTAACATGGACTATTTGTCACGAATCACTGAAACTAATCTGTGTCTTACAATGATCAGAAATCGCTAATGAATAATGAACCTTTCACATTTTATTTCCTGCATGTTTAATAAAAACATAGTTAACTCTAATCTAATCCTACAAGTGATGGAGTGACAAAAAACAAGCAGCTTGCAGCTATTATATGTGTTAAAATGTAGTTGATGTTTTATTTTTCAGGGAGGAAACAGGAAGAGCTGTGTGACTCAGATAGCGACGACAGCAACAGCCTGCATTAACAGTGTGTGAGGGTTGTGTCACTTTGCTGCTGTAAACACCAGCGAAAGTGTTCTTTATGTGAGCGTGTTCATAGTCCAGTCGTGTGTGTGTGTACATGCATGTGTGAGCATGCATGTGTGTGTATACATGTGTGCATGTGTGTGTGTGTGTGTGTGTTCGCATGTGTGCGTGTGAGCATGCACATGTGTGCGTATGTGTGCGTATGTGTGTGTGTGTACGTGCATGTGTGCATACCTGTGTGTGTGTATAAGTGCAATTGTGTATGCGCCTATGTGTGTGCATGCATTTGTTACGTGAGTGTGTGTATGTGTTTTGGGGCTTTTTCTAACAGCTTGTGTGTGTGTGTGTGTGTGTGTGTTTTGGGGCTTTTTGTAACGCTTGTGTGTGTGTGTGTGTCTGCTTGTGTGTATCTCTGTGTGTGTGTCTTGCGTGTGTTTACATCTGTATGTGTGTGTGTGTGTGTGTGTGTGTGTGTCTTGCGTGTGTGTACATCTGTATGTGTGTGTGTGTGTGTGTGTTTGTGTGTCTTGCGTGTGTGTATCTCTGTATGTGTGTGTGTGTCTGCATGTGTGTATCTCTGTATTTGTGTGTGTGTGTGTGTTGTGGGGCTGTTTCTAACAGTGTGTGTGGAGGTAAATGTTGCAGTCCTCTCACCTTGAGCTGGTGGGCGTACTGGGGGTGCTGAGAGAGAAGGGGGTCAGACCTCCGTTCCTGGAAGAGAACATGCCGGTGAGGATATGCAAAAGGAACCCACTGGTTACTCGACTCCACACTGACGACCCAAGAGCCGTCACCAGTGGTAACTGGGGAATCACTTTAGCGATCCAAATCACAAACTAGCGTGCGTTTATTCTGTTGGAAAATCCCTAAAAAGGTGCTTGACTCCATGCCTGAAAATGTGCACAACCCTAAAAAAGTATTCAACAGCCACTGTCTAGGGGCAAATGCAGGTGACAATGTTTTGGAGACAGATTTATTGACTCCTCCACAAATCTACATTTGAACTGATGGACCAGCCTGCAAACTGCCCGTACCGTTTTAGTCAGCAAGAAAATAAATACGTTGAACAACAAAAAAAAAAAAATAAAAAATTGGAAACTGAGATGAATATATTTTATTAAGAAGTAAGAAAGAAGGGAAGACTGCAAAGCTCGGAGAGGTTGTGATGCTCCAGAAAAGAGGTGAAGAGCTTGGTGCTGAGGAGAAAAGCAGAAGCTGCTAACGACCGAGTGGGAGGACTAAAAGTAGACATGTGAAGAAGTGATGGGTGGCAGCAAAAGAAAGGTGGGAAGCATGGGAAGTGAAAGGAAGTGCTAACAAAAAAGGTGACGGACAAGGAAACTGGTGCAGAAAGAAACTGAAGCTGGAGTTGGAGACAGGAGTAAAAATTAAAAGATGAAGAAACTCCTGAAGTCGTGAGGGAAGGGGTTATGCTGTCCGTCTGACCTGGGAGATGGCGTTTTAGGAGAATCCTCGCTGGGCTTAGTTTGAGCTGAAGGTGACGGCTCGTCATCGAGATCGTACGAGAAGAGGTGAAAGGGGGAGTGGGGCAGGTAGGGGAGCCGGTCGGGGGAAGGGCGGGAGCTGCCCCGCAGTGGCGCGCTGATCTCTTTGGTGGCTGGGACGGTGACAGTCGACCTTCTCCTGGCCAGCAGGGTGGCCAGGAGGGAGGGCTGGGGCGGGGGAGGAGGAGGGGAGGTCGGTGGTGGTGATTCTGTCTGCTTCCTCCTCTCATCCTCTTTTAAATTCAGCTTTCTGGATGTGATGGTGATGGACTGAAGGGCTGTCCTGTGAGCGGTGGGTGTAGGGGGTGTGGCCGGGCTAGGGACAGAGGAATAGGTTGAGAGGAATATGTGATTAAAAAAGTACTGATCTGAAAAATAAACACAAAGTAAGGGTCACAGAGGTAAACAAACTGCCTTTAAAACACAAAACAACTACGGTCAGGACAATACTCCACTTCCACAAAACCACCAAGTCCTAAAGTACCTGGAGGTGGTCTGATTAGCCCCCTCCTCATCCGAGTCAGACTCAGTCACAGGAGTCTCCTCCTCCTCCTCCTCCTCCTCCTCCTTGCCATCCTCACTTTCCTCCTCTCTATGGAGGTGGGTGGATGGTCGAGGGGGTGAAATGCACAAACAACAGGGGAGGATTTGAGGGAGAGATGATGAGAAACAGAGTAGCATGCAGATGGAAACCACCAAAGAAATGTTGGAAGAGAGAGAAAGGAAAAGATTTAGATGAGATAGATGAGACTGAGACATGCAAATAAAACCCTAAAAAACCTTATAAACCTGTCATAACAATAAAGCACTATTCTATAGGTTATATCAGGATTAACAATAATAATCTGCTCTTTACCAGGCTTTACTAAAAATGGTAAATGGCCTGTATTTGATATAGCGCCTTCTAGAGTCCTGGAACCCCCCAAGGCGCTTTACAACACAATCAGTCATTCACCCATTCACACACACATTCACACACTGGTGGGGATGAGCTACAAAGTAGCCACAGCTGCCCTGGGGCGCACTGACAGAGGCGAGGCTGCCGAGCACTGGCGCCACCGGTCCCTCCGACCACCACCAGCATACTAGGTGTATAAAAAAGGATCAACAAGTCCCTCTATGACCAACATTTAGTCTGCTGCCAAATTCCCAGAGTTAGATAAGTGGGAAAAAGCATTTTGTAACCAGCCCAGTCATTTTCCTACTCAGGTAGTATTTTCTTAGCATTAGCTTAGCATAAACAATGTATTTGAATGGTAACAGCTAGCATTTTGTGAGAAAAAGTCATAAAGATTAGTCAATAATTATCCTAATTTTTCTTGGTGACTTTAAAAATTAGCTGCAAATTAAACTAATAAGTAACGCAAAGGAATTACTGGAATTGATTTGGGCTTGGGACTAAAGGATTCCCAAGTCACGCCCATCTACCAGACAATGGGTCCAGGAAGAATGAAAAAATGAATGCAAGCCAACGGGGCTAAAAACGCTATTTTGTAATTCCGCTTGTTTTGTGCCATGGATTTCACGTATGATGTCCGTGAATTTTAAAGACGTATTTTGATACCAAGAACGCATTTATTTTTGAACGCGGGAAATGTTATTTTAGGTTTTTGTGTGAAAATAAGTCCATGACTACAAATGCGCATCACGAAAGTGAGGTCATCAAACCAGACACGGAGAAAAACAGAGGGAAAATGGAAGTCAGTTCAATTAACTTTATATCCTTCCTTCAGGAGAAAATAACTACCATAAACCAGGCCATATGGTAAGTAGCAGCTACGCTAGGGGAGTTGAGAAACTGTGGTGACGTCATAAATGTGACATGTCAACGTCTGATTTGTAGTCATGCTAATTAAAAACTTTTACAAGCTAATAAATCTCAAAGTACGTGACTGGTGTGGTTGAAACATTACTAGTTTTAATTTAAATTGAAGTACAACAAATGTGTGATCCAGGACGTATGGCAAGGCAGATTAGAAAATAGCTTTTTTGGTCCCATTAACTTGCATTCATTTTTCGTTCTTCTGGGGACCCATGAGCTGGCTGGAAAGGGAGGACAATTCTCAATGCCAAGGAACCTTGCCTTGATATCTTGGCCCCGCCCCGGTTGCCTAGGAGATATGTTATCAGGAGCCGCCAAGACGTGTTCTAATGTTCATGTTCCACCGAGGCGTGTGTTCTCCGTTTGTTAGCCATTAAGCTAGCTGAGCAAGGATACACGGGAGGTGTCTTGTAGCCTAGCCTTGGTAAAAAAAAAAACAGAATACACCGTGGTATTTTCAAAAGGATGGTGCATCAGAAGCTGGCAGCTACTTCGGGGGCAAATTTCAAGTTTAAAAGGAAGGCAACTAATTGAAAATGTTTATTTTTTTTTTAATCCAAAACGGTAAGCTACGGATGGTTAGTTGCTTAGTAGTTGCAGCTTCGGTGGCTAGCGGGTAGTAACTCCCTTATTTATTTAATTTAACAAATATACACAATTTAAAAAGTTAAAGTCTCGTTATATATTTATATTGAAACTAATACATATAAAATATAACGTTATCTCCCGTGTCACGTGACGTTACGTGACCGGAAGCTGTGGTCACGTGACGTAAGTCTGTTCCATTTAACCGTTTCTTTTGACTAAGGAAGGACAGTGTCCTCGTAAGCAAGATGCCTGGCCTCGCAAGGCATTGCCTCGCGAGGCCAGGCGCCTTGACACTGAGAAACACCCTTACACTCCCTATACATTACCACAACTGCTGCAAGCTGTCGGTGCAAGGTGCAAAAACATGAAGCAGCAGCCCCTAAACTAGCCCGTAACTCACCGTTTACTGTCATTAGGGTGAAATGTTATATAGTAAACTTAATGGAAGTCCTTCTAACACCAAGCTTAAAAGAAGAATGAGCTGTGTGCTAAAGTGATGCATTATGGGTAAGCATCTCTACTTTGGTCCCATCTTTCCAAAGGATGTTGTTCTAGAAGTAAAACTTTACCTCAACTGACACACACCCAGAGCGATCCAGAGAAATGATCCGGTCCCCCCTGGAGACACAACCACCACCACCCCACCTCTACAGAATTATCACTGAGCTAACTGGAAGCCTGTGTGTAATTGCAGCCCTGGATGAGTTTTCTACTGGGAATGTTGGTGTCTTAACCTGGTAAAGATACTAGCTCTTTTATTTAGTCCTGATTAACCCTCCCTCTGACTTCATGGGTGACCCTGCAAGGAAATTTGACCACTGAGCAGGATTGATGGTTTATCCCTTGAGGTCCACGTGGCAGGGGTGAGGTAGAGCTCACTCCTCACCCCTGCCACATGGACCTCAAGGGATAAACCATCAATCCTGCTCAGTGGTCAAATTTCCTTGCAGGGTCACCCAAGAAGACAGTGGGAGGGTTAAATAATTAAACTAAAATGTATAACTTTATTATACTGTGACTGTACAGAGACAATAAACAAGAGCATAAAAAAATCATGTCAAGTTGGCAAAGAAAAAATGAGACAGCGCTAAAATGAAACGGGATTGCTGGTAGATGAATGGTTCGGATTAGACACTCGATGGGATGCAAGGTTACATGCAAGTGAAGAGAATATTATGATGACAGGGAAGAAGGGAAGAAATGCCTAAAGGAAGCTGAAATAACTGACTCGACATCAGTGGCACCAATTTGGTCTAATAAAACCTGTGTGTGTGTGCGCGCGCGCGCGCGTGTGTGTGTGTGTGTGTGTGTGTGTGTGTGTGTGTGTGTGTGTTACAATTGCCGTAGTCAACAGATTATGTGTGTCACACTTCACTTAGTTTAATAAAAACAGACAAATAAGCTGATATTTACTACGTTTCCTACATCCACATGATCGCTAGGGTTTTACCCTGCTGAGGTCGTCGACGATGGCAGAGATGCAGATACTGGGAGAAAGGCACAAGTAATACTATGTAGAAACAACTGCAAGTTCATTAAATTCCCTTTTTTGGGTACAACACTAGTTTGACTGGGTTTCGTGGATTAGAGTCATGAAGTAACCCCATAGCTGTAGCCACGCTGTGAGTACTGGGAACACACTGGAAGCTGTTACAGTGTGTATTTGAGGAGATGCGGATGTGTTTTTCACTGATGTCTGAACTTACATGATTGGAAGACAGCCTGACAAAGTTCTGGAGCAGAAAGTGGTACAAAAGTCAGATCTTGACTTTGAAATTCAACCTGTACGTCTCATAATGGATGTACATTGTGCACCACAACTAATTTTAAACCTAAAATCATTATGTCGACGTTTTCATTACAACCATAGCTAGATATTTAAACCCGGGACTGGATCGTGGTCCCATCTCCCTCACCTCTCACTCAAGTCCTCTGCTCTGTGTCCACTGAAAGACTGGAAGCCAGCTCTCTGTGGGGACGCAGGACTGCACGGGGACGCGTGTCCAGATCGCCCCAAAGAGGCCCGGCGGCTACGTCGCCTCTCCAGGCTGCGCTGCTTATCCAGGACACCAAGGCTGGAACGTCGACGATCTCGACATCCCGTTGGTGGTGGCTGGCTGTTGTCACCGTCTTCATGCAGTAGGTTCGTCTGACAGAAAAGCAGGGGTAAAACCGTCATAGAATTTGACTACATCATCATTACATGATGCAGAAAAACACTTTCTATCTAAAATGTGATAGACATGTAGTATCATTGTTCGGTTTCTAACCTCATAGATGTTGAGCTGCTCAACCAGGTCGAGGTCAGTGCCTTTTCGACCCAGATGTCTTTGCGAGACTGTCTCCATGTCCTGTTCCTCCAGCCTGTCCACCATGTCATAAAAGGAGTCCTGGTCTGGCAGAGCTGCAAGCGTCTGTACCAACAAAATAAAATACTTTTTTCAAAATGTTTTTTTCTCTTAAACTGGAATCTCCGTGAACTGAGAGAAGTTCTAGCTCCAAAAGTGACAACTTGAAGCTCAACCAAATTTTGCAGCTGCCTATGTGGACGAGCCAATTCCAGTGTTGGGAAAGTTACTTTAAAAAGTAATTAGTTACTAATTACTTTGTCAAAAAAGTAACTCAGTTACTAACTGAGTTACGAGATTATAAAAGTAACTAATTACCAAGAAAAATAACTACTTAGTTACTTTTTTCATTAAAGAATGCAAGAAAAATGGGTTAATTGAACTTACTTAATTTACTATAAATTACTACAATAGTGAAATATAAATGACTAATGACTGGAACATAAAATGTATGTCAAAATGTTTTTTATAAACCTGAATGATTTCAATAAATAAGCACTTAACAGGAGGAACTACTAACAGGAGCATTACACTAATCTAGACTATTAAAAGGTCACTGTGTGATATTTAACAAGACCCCAATCAGCTAAAATTTAAAATTGCAAATAGAAACACCTGTAAAGGTTCCCAAGCCTTTAAATGGTCTCTCAGTCTAGTTAAATTACAGAAATAAATGTAATTTTGCACAGTATTTTAATTTTTCCAGCTTCCCATAATTGTGTGTTTTTAGCAGCACTTCTGTTGCTGGTAATCTAGTAATGGTTAAATAAATAAATAAAATCATTTAAAATGACACTAGAAGAGGCACAAGCCTGATGGAGGACTTATATTTATTAACTTGGGTCAGACCCAACCACAGAAGAGCTGAAGCTGGGTGGTAAACACACACAGGTAGTTCTGATAACAACTGAGCTCCATGCCGTCTGAGACTGATGCATCAGTGTTACAGCGGGACTAAAGACATGATCAGAAACAGGTTACAGCTGGATGATCTAGGAAGGTAGAAGATCAGGACGTCTGAGCGGTGAACAGGTGAGCGGACCTTCGGGACGTCCCGCTGTCACGCTAAGAAGGGCGCGGCTCTAGATCCACACCTGCAGCCGTAGATATTCATCACGTCTTCCTCGTTCTTCATGGGCCGTGATGCTCTTGGATGAAAACATCTACCTCTTTAGCTCCTGATCAGCTGATGACAGCTTCAACACACCGCACTGCTTAACGCACACATTTCCTTATCAGTAACAGAAACGACGTTTTGTTAAAAGAAGACGGTAATTAATTAGTTTGCTCGTTACTGAAAGAAATATTTTTTTATTAACGCGGTTATTTTAAACAGCGTTATTACCATCACTACTCTGTTGTGTCTACAGCAGGCAGCGACTGAGACAGTGAGGGTCTCCGCCCACCCGGCCAATCATCATCGTGTTTGTAAGCGCGTTACCGACACCTCTCTCTCCCTGGCTGCAGCTGAAGTGTGGCGGTCAGAAAGCCTCACACTGTTGCTCAACGTTCGACAAGCACATAGTAACGCACAACCTTCCGTCCCCAGTAACGGTAACGGCGTTGCAACAGTGGGAAAAGTAATTAGATTATTCCGTTACCTAAAAAAGAACGCCGTTAGTAACGCCGCTATTTTGAACGGCGTTATTCCCATTACTGTAAATTACTTCTGTAGAGTTTTTAATGGTCAAATGAGACCAAGGTTGTTACCTAGCTACAAAAACTAGAAGCTTGTTTGAAGGAATCAATATCAGGCTTTTAAATCTGGTTTACGGCTTTAAGAACATTGTACCAGCTGCCAAGCATGGCGGTGGTAGCATCATGCTGTGGTACAGTGGATGGATGAAATGATTTAAAATATGGGGCGACGGTGGTACAAGAGTTAAGTGCTCTCCCCGTAAACGGAAGGTTGCAGGTTCAAGACCCGCTCAGCCTTGCCTGCTGGTGGTGGTTAGGGTTAGGGGGACTGGTGGCACCAGTGTTTGGCAGCCTCGCCTCTGTCTGTGCACCCCAGGGCAGCTGGGGCTACTCTGTAGCTCATCTCCACCAGTGTGTGAATGGGTGAATGTCTGATTGTGTTGTAAAGTGCCTTGGGGGGGTTCCAGGACTCTAGATGGTGCCATATCAAATATTGGCCATTAATGATTTATTTGTGTGTTCTAAAAAAAACATCAACCCCAAACACATCAGACCATCTGTCTACATGAACATTCCAAGAGGTTTTGGATGAACGACCTTCCAAGGCCGACATGTAGAGGCCAAATTCAGATAACAATTGTTTTGCTTTGGCTAGAGTGAGTGTCTGCCTCAGTTCTGTCAGTGATCTCTGGTACACTTTGTCTTTATTTGAACGTGGCGTCTTAAATATGGCCTGGATTATCCCGCTAATGGTTATCCTTGGCAGGTCCTGCAATGATCGCTTAAAAAACGCAATAGAGAATACAAATGTTACTGCAACCCGGATCCAAAGAAAAGCCCAAACTTAGGTTTGAGCCCATATTGACCACACAGAAATTACACATTTACATAGAGATGGTTGATATAATTCCCTAAGGTAAACAGACCTTGTTTATGAGGGTCATGGCATAAACAAGCAGCTCTGTGTCCACCCCGTCCTTCTCCTGTAAGATCTCCATAGCGTTGAACCACGGCTTGGAACCTGATAAAAATCAGTCAGAATTAGAAGTTTCCTTTCCATAAAATCAAACTTGTTTAATAAGACTGATGTGGTAAAAAGAACTAGATCATGTAGTGATATTAGGATATTTGTACTTTTCTTCGTGTCCACGGAGGTGATGGCTTCTATCAGCAGTGGGGCGTTGGATTCAGAGTACTCCACAAACACAAGCAGAAGTTTCAGAGATGTTTTCACCACCAGACGAAACTAATGAGGTAAAAAAGAAAACAAAATGCAGGCGAACTTTATACAGAAGGTAAAATGAGGTTTTCCTCTAGCTAAAACCGGATGCTTGATTTTATTTTGTCCGACATTTGTTTTTTTTATCGATTGGTCTTATTCCAATATCTCTTATCTGTAATGCTGTTTGCTTGCTATTTTACGATTTTATGTTTTTATCCTGCTTTTATGCCCATGTATTGGGAATGTTTTTCTTTTAATGATGTTGTTCAGCACCTTGGGCTTCGGATAATGTTGTAGAAGGTGCTATACAAATAAAATTTGATTGATTGATTTGGTAAAACAAAACTAGGACATTAGTTAAAAGCCTTCATGGTGTAAATGAAACCATTCCAGAGAGGAGTTGGTGTCATTACAATGTTAGGTTTGGGGCTAACTCCAGTAGTTTTAATTTACAGCATCTTTAACAAACCATTACATGAATGCATGTCACACGTTCTTTTATATAGGCTGGTTAGGATGTGTGTTTTCTTACACTACATAAATAAAAACCTCAGCATAAGATAATGTAAAAGGTGTGTTTTCACTTGTGCTTGGTCATGTGACCGTAACCGGAGGGTTGCTGGTTCGCATCCCGCTCAGCCTGTTAAAGTCGTTGGCCTTGGGCAAGACACTTCTCATGACACCTTTCTTGCTTACTGGAAGTGGTCAGAAGTACTGGTCGCACTTGTACAGCAGCCCTGCCACCACCAGTGTGCCTCAGGGCACCTGTGGCTGCGCTGTAACTTATCATCACCAGTGTGTGTATGTGTGAATGTGTGTGAATGTGTGTGGGTGGAGGTGTGTGTGCGCTCTGACTCCTCGATCCCCAGTGAGTCGTGGAGGATGGCTGCTCACACTGAGCCAGGATCCTCTGGAGGGTTCTTTCTGTTAAAAGGGAGTTTTCCTCTCCACTGTCGCGACATGCTTGCTTTAGTATGAGGATTGCTGTAGAGTTTCTGACTTGATGCAATCTGCTGGGTTGCACTGATTGGCATAATGAACTGAACTCAACTGGAATGGTTTTTTTCGTGAAGTGCCACGACATGACTCTTGTTGTGATTTGATGTTTTATAAATAAACTCAGTTGAAATGAATTGTGTTGTAAAGTGCCTTGGGGAGTTGCAGGACTCTAGAAGGTGCTAAACAAACACAGGTCATTTGCCTTTTTACCATTTCCCATACCTTTGAGCCAACCAGACTGTAGAGCCACTGAATTGTCTCTGGGTGGCTGATGACTCCATTCATCCCATCTACGTACAGCATGATCTGCCCCAGAGCTGACAAAAGAAAAGAATAGAAAGTCTGAAATAATTCACTTATAGAGCGATAGGAGGAGGGTCCGTCGGATTGTCGAACCTCGGATTCATGAGGAACAATGTGGTTTTCGTCCTGGGGCGTGGAATACAGCTCTATACTCTTAATCTTGGAGGGTGTGTGGGAGTGTGCCCAACCAATCTACATGTGTTTTGTGGATTTGGAGAAGGCTTTCGATCACGGCCCTGGGGGGTGGGGGTGTACTTCAGGAGTATAGGGTACCAGCCCCTCTGATACAGGCTGTTATTAGGGTCCCTGTATGATTGGTGTCAGAGCTTGGCCCGCATTGCCGGAAGTAAGTTGAGCTTATTTCTGGTGAGAGTTGGACTCCGCCAAGGCTGCTCTTTGTCACCGATTCTGTTCATAACTTTTATGAACAGGCTTTCTAGACACACCCCAAGGTGTTGAGGGGATCTGTTTTGGTGGCCTGAGGATCAGGTCTCTGCTTTTTGCAGATGACGTGGTCCTGTTGCCGTTATCGGACAGTGATCTCCAGTTGGAGTGGTTCGCAGCCGAGTGTGATGCGGCTGGGATGAGAATCAGATCCCCTCGATCCGAGACCATGGTCATGTGTGGAAAAGGGTAGAATCCGGGCACGTCCAACTGGAAGGAGACCCAATGGAAGACCCAGGATACGCTGGAGGGACTATGTTTCTCCGCTGGCCAGGGAACGCCTTGGGATTCCCCCGGAGGAGCTGGCCTAAGTAGCTGGGGAGAGAGGTCTGGACATCCCGGGTTAGGCTGCTGCCCCGCAACCCGACTCCGCATAAGCAGCTGAAAATGGATGGATGGATGGATGGATGGAGTGATAGGGACTACTGAAAAGTTAAGCTAAGCTAAGAAGGGCTTCGGTAGCAACAGTAATAGGCCTCATGTGCGTATCAGTGGTGTTATCAGCCTATGTTTGCTTGTCTGGAGCATACAGATGCGTGTTAGCAAAATACCGAGATGCGGGGCATCAACGATGACCTCAGTCTTATAAAGACATTCTAGTGAGTCATTGTACATAAAATCCACCCCCAATGTCAGTCTGTGAAATGTTTTTCATAAAAATAAATATGTATCAATAGCCCCATCTCAGACTGTGCATGCCTAAGTTAACAAGGTGAAGATAAGTCAAGGACAGCACAACGACTTCTGGCAGCCCTGTCTTCATAATCAACTATGTTTATTTTCATGGCAAAGACATATGTTGCAATTATTTGCAAATCAGCTGATCACAAAGGAATTGTATACAAACTGAAATCATAAAAACAGAAGTACCATGCAAAATATTTGTAAGTGACAAAACTTTGGCCAAAGCTGTACCTGGCATGTTGTTTGGAGAATAATGAAGTCTAAGTATATTTGTGAAAAACTGATGCAACTCACAGTCATAGTTGTGCTGTGTCCCTACTGGTCGGTGAGATGGAGAAGTTTCTGCGACACCCCCTCCTCCCACACCCGTTTTTCAGCGGACGGGGCAAAGAAGCGAAATTTCCTCGGGCCAAAAATCCCGATTGTTTTTGTGACGTTTATATTTGAACCCATGTTTGTGTTTGTTCAGATGTTCAATAAAGGAATCCTACCTCTTAATATGTAGTTCTGGTAGTTTTGGTCCGCTTCTTCTCCCACTTTGATCAGACACGTGAGACCTTCAGCCATCACAAACTCGTGGACCAGGTCTTTGTCATCCTGCAGCAATGGACAGGCAGAAAAAAGTGCAAAAATGGGTTCACACAACCAAAACCACACAGAAGGCCTTTTAAGAGTTTTGTGTTTTTGAGGTGTAATCTCACAAACTACCACATGATGCCAGTAGAGTGCAGGAAAAGGACTGAACGTTTACTTTCCAAACCAGAACATCTAGAGAATAAATAGCTGGGCTTTGCAAATGACTCATCAGACTTTTGTTTTGCATACTTGAACATAAGCACATGAAAAATGCTAAACACATCTGTCATAACGGTGCTTTCTCATACACATTCTGATTTCACATATCTCCTCCAAGAAACGACAAGCAGAAATGGAAATAAAATCCCTGTTGACGTTACAACAGATGAGACTAATGAACAAAAGTAGAGAATTTATTTCTAAAAAGTGTATTTAAATAGCAGAAACAAGGATGCTTGGTGCAGCTTCTGCAACACCAGGACAAAAGAAAGCCCAAATATGACGATCTGTCATCGCACAAGGATTGACAGCTACAATCTCTGCTTTGCAGCAACACAGTGACAGTAATTGCATGTGAAATATGTGTGTTACCTGAAATATTTGCTTCAAGGAGAACAGCGCCCTCCTCAAGTCGCGTCCATTGGAGTTATAGAGTCTTTCTGCAGAGAGACACACAAACACACATGCATGAATCAAGATGTCCAGATGAACTTTTGTACATGTTTTCTCTCTCGGCAGGGCTCATAGTTTTCATCCTGATGAGTGGATCAATAAAATCTGTGTGTAAAATTGGTATCAGCTGTGAAGACGTTGCTGAGATGTGAGATTAGCAGCAATCTGATGGAGCTGCAGTAGCTCAACAGGTCGAGCGGGTTGTCCAGTAATCAGAAGGTTGCAGGTTCGATCCCAGCTCCGGACAGAGAATTCTGCTGTTGTGTCCTTGGGCAAGACACTTAACCCACCTTGCCTGCCGGTGGTGGTCGGAGGGACCGGTGGCGCCTGTGCTCGGCAGCCTCGCCTCTATCAATGCGCCCCAGGGCAGCTGTGGCTACATCGTAGCTTATCACCATCAGTGTATGAATGTGTGTGTGAATGGATGAATGATACACTGTAGTGTAAAGCGCTTTGGAGTCCTTACTCTGAGAGGCGTTATACAAGTGCGGGTCATTTATCATTAATTGCCTGAGGCAGGAACTTATTAACACACTCTCACCATGTTTTAGGTGTGGATTAGACTGTTACACACACACACACACACACACACACACACACACACTCAATAAGAAATTTACTGGAATGTTAATGAGTTGCTGGCTGGCGTTCAGCAATGAGCTTTGCAGGTCACATCATGGAAACACTTCTATAGCATGACACTGATATTTCCTTCATTATTTGTGTCCCTTAACACAACACCAGTGTCCTTCTGTAAGGGTCTAACAGGGCTTTGAAATGGTTTCTTATCAGCAAATTTGATCATCTCCTTTACATAAATTCTTCTAAATGTAGGCTATTCTGAATGGCCTCAGCTCATGAGCTAGCGGCTAGTGTGAGTGTAGCCGTATTGTCTTTTAGAGTTCTGTGATGATCTGAAAGAGTATTATTTACATCAGCAGCAAAATGTTGCCCTTCTGATGCTTCAAGTGTTCAAGTCTGGCAGTGGACCACTTTGGTCTCGGCTGTGCTTGGACAAGCCAGATGTACACTCCATTTCTCCAGATAGAGGCTGTTCAGGAAGATACTTCCAACAGATAAGATAGTAATCACTTTTACACAAAATATTCCTTTAATGCCTCCCTAATGGCAAGGATTCATCACACTATTAACACTGTAACGGCAAATACTTGTTTGTGAATGACTGTAATGGCAGAGGTCTAACATGAGTTTGGCTTTAAGCTGAAGGACTGCCCATGCTGTCAGCTGGTAAACATTTACAAAGGAAGGAAGGCAGGTTGATGTACTCTAAGGATATGGAAATAAAGGACACACACACACACACCCTGATGTGCATCCAGACCTAGGCAGGCCTGGCTCCATGGTAATGGTTGCAACGCTACGTGAGGCTAACCCAACTCCAGGGTCAAAATCATTATCATTCCACACTGAGACAATGAATTACAGGCCTGTCTGTCTCTTTCCTTCTGCAGGACAATTTCTGTGAGCTCAGCAGAAACATTTGTGGCACGAATCTGTGATGATCTACTGTAGAGACACTCTGACTCATGAAAAGCCTTGAAATCATCCATGTGATTAGCCTTAATGAGCTGCACTACAAAAAACATGCATGGAAGAGTGAAGGTGGAGAGCAAAACACACAAACACAATGTCACAAACTGTCTGGGAGAAAGGGAAAGTGGAAATTGAACATGAAAGTCTGCTTTTATCGTAGTTCCTGGCTGCTCTCAAGGCTTCCCTGGAAATCAAATGGCTACTTGAAGCATCTGGCTCTGGGGTGTCATGATTTAATACGGACACTCGTGACTTTTGTTTGTGTTCTCCATCAGAGCATGAGCGGTGCTGTCAGGGTAACCTTTACAGAGTCAGCTGCATCTGGAGCGTGTCAGCAGCAGCAGCAGCGATAAGACTCGCACCTCGCATCATCCATTAGCAAAGCCATCAGATCTGAAAGTGGCAGCTTGCTTATTTTATATGGCAGAATTGAGCTGAATAATACAAAGGGCAACAATGGAGCTGCTGCGGTGGGAAAATGATAATGTGTGGGCTTACGATCACCTTTTAACTGACTGTGATATTCTCTGTTTGCAAGAGACATTTTTAGTGCAGCAAGACCTCTCAAAGCTGAACTCTTAATAATTTCCTTTTTTGGGGCGGGTGCATCTACTACAGATTTTTCCAGCAGTATTGTTAGAGGGAGGATATCTAGAGGTGTTGCAGTACCGTGGAAAAAAACAATGGATAACTGTGTCAAAATTATTAGAATGGGAGTAGATTTGTGTATCGGAATACATTTGTCCAGTGGAAATAAGGATTTTCTGGCCTAATGTGTATATTTACCTTATGAATGCCGACAGAATGAAGGAGATTATCTTAATAAGCTTGCTTTTTTAAACTCTTTTATGGAAAGTTGCAATTTTACTAGCACATATGTCGTGGGAGATATGAATGTGAATTCCAAATTCGCCAAACATCTGAGTCAGTTTTGTTTAGAGCACAAATACATTGTGTCAAGTAAGCGCATGCTGCCGCATTACAGTTATAATAATAATAAAAATAATGCATTGAACTTATACATCGCTTTTCTAGACACCGAAAGACGCTTTCACACACTCTCACATTCACACACTGCTAGTGATGGTAAGCTACTTGTGGCCGCAGCCGCCCTGGGGAGGTCTGACAGAGGCGAGGCTGCCATTTGGCGCCGTCGGCCCCTCTGACCACCACTAACACAGGCAAGTTGGGTGAAGTGTCTTGCCCAAGGACACAACAGCAGGATACCCCTGGCGGGAGCTGGAATCGAACCCGTGACCCTCCGATCATGAGGCAACCCGCTCTACCACCTGAGCTACTGCTGCCCCGAGTTATGCATACATTAGTGAAGCCTGGCATTCTACTTCATGGCTAGATCATTGTTTTAGCTCATCAGATGCTCATGGGTCTCTTAGTTCAGTGGATATTCTGTATAACCTGGCCGTCAGTGATCATAATCCGATTTCATTCTCAGTCAAAGTTGAGCGTCTGCCTGAGGTGTTTGTAGGTAATGAAGGAGTGTGTCAAAGTAATTTGAACCGGTCTAATGTTACAAAACGTGAGTTGAGGTCATACTCTATAAAAACAGAAGAATTATTGAGAAAGGTTGTTTTACCCAATCAGGCCATTAGGTGTACTGATCCAAATTGTGCAAATATGAAACATAAAATTGCCATCTGCAAATTTTATGATCGAACAATAGGAGTTCTTATTAAAAGCGGTAAATCACTTTATAAAGTGGTCCGCAGCTCTAATATTAAGTTGCCTGGGTGGAACAAGTATGCCGTTGGATTCCATGAGCAGGCCCAAGTAGCAACAAGGGAACGGGCCCAAGCGGGTAGACCCAGACAAGGTCTCCTATATGAAAAAAAAAAAAAGCTTACACATGCTAGATATAAGTATGCCATTAGGTTCATTAAGAAGAGCGATCAAGCAATGAGGTTTGGTTCCTTGGCTGGGAAACTGCTATCAACAAATGTTTTGGATTTTTGGAAAGAGATACGAGTTCTTAATAGAAACAAAACTGTTTTGCCTCGCTGTGTTGAAGGTATGTCTGGACCAGACTGTATTGTTGAGCATTGGAAACAGCATTATGATGCTCTATTTAACTGCATATGTAGTGAACAAATGAGTGTAACAGTGATAAACAGCACTGAGTCCATTAGTGTTAAAGCTTGTGAAGTGCATCAAGCCGTGATTGAGCTTCCAGATAGTAAATCTTGTGGACTGGACGGAATATACGCGGAACATCTGAAATATGCTAACGTTAGTTATTACCTCTACTGGCAATCTGCTTTACTAGTTGTTTGATACACGGCATTCTGCCTGATGCACTTATGCCTATTATTCTAGTCGCCGTCATAAAAGACAAGGCAGGTAGAGCAGGTAGCATGGACAACTAAAGGCCTGTTGCGTTGGCAAGCATTGTAACCAAGGTTATTGAAAAAGTGCTACTAAGTAGGCTAAAGGATTTTATCTACTCTACAGATAATTTGTTTGGGTTCAAGTCTAAGCTTAGCACAGATTTGTGCATATTTGGTTTAAAAGAAATAATGAGGAAGTTTCAAAGAGGCAACTCTGTGTTATTATCCTTTATTGATGCGTCTAAAGCCTTTGACCGTGTAAATCATCTGAAACTGTTTGTTAAAATGCGACAACGTGGGGTTCCTAAGTACATTCTGAGAATCCTAGTCTACTGGTATGCTAATCAGGATATGCAGGTGAGATGGGGTAGTAGATTTTCTGCTACTTTTGGTGCTGCTAATGGAGTAAAGCAAGACGGGGTACTCTCTCCTGTGCTTTTCAACTTGTACATGGATGAACTGTCACAGCAGTTAAATAATTGCAGAACTGGTTGTATGATTGGATCAACCCTAGTCAACCATCTTATGTATGCTGACGATCTTGTCGCCGTGAGTCCTAGTAGTATGGGATTACAGGAAGTGCTAGATATTTGCTCAAAGTACGGGGTGGATTTAGACATCAATTACAATTCTAGTAAGAGTGTCATCATGACCTGTAGAACAAAAGAAGATGAAGGGTTACGGATTCCCAAATTTGAATTATGCGGTAATGTTTTGCCTGTGACGGACAAATATAAATATTTGGGGCACTTTATTAATGATGAATTAGCTGATGATGATGATATCGATCGGCAATGTCGTACAATGTATGCACAGGCCAAAATGTTAGTGCGTAGGTTTAGTATGTGCACTAATGCAGTTAAAAAGACACTCTTTAAAGTAAACTGTACTCAATTGTATACAGCTCGTTTGTGGTCTTCCTATAAGCAAACACATCTTAGGCGTCTTAATGTAGCATATAATGATTGTCTGAGAATATTACTAAAGAGGCCTCGTTGGGAAAGTGTGAGTTGCTTGTCTCTTCTGGTATCAATACATTCCATGCTATGTTGAGGAACTTGATGTTTAAGTTTATTTGTCGAGTTAATCGA